ACTTTAGTCCCTTGAAGATTGCTTATGGTAAGCATATTGAAGGGCTTATGCGGGCGCGTGTCACCCATATCACTAAAGAAGATTTCTTTCCTGCATTTTACACCGCATACCAAGCCACCATGACAGAAAAAAATATCAAAGGTGGCTTTCAAGGGGCTGGCCTTATCCCTTTCGACCCTGAAAGGGTAATATCTAAGCTTGATGTCCAATTTAAAACGCCAACACCGTCGAATTCGCGGCCGACTAGTTCCCATAGCTGGGTTTCTAAAACACCAAATAACCCAATTGAGGCGTCATCCCAGACAAACCTTATCAAAAACCGAATCTCTCGTCACCAAGATAGCTCTCCATCATCAATTCTGAATGCTGTTGACATCCTCGCGAAAGGCACAACGAAGATAATGCATAAGATGGATTTGATGGAAGCAGAGATTCGTGAACTTCGGGCGGCAAATGAGGCCCTTAGCAAACGCCGGAGGGCTAAAAAAACACGTCTAAGGAAAGGAGGGTCACTTTCTATACAGGAAGCTCAAGAATTAGGGGATCAAATGGAGGTTGAGGTACAACTGAAGGAGGAAACATGCAATGGGGCTGGTCAGCAACTGCGGACCGAGACACGCGCACAGCACTGTGGCAATTGCAGAAAAGCCAGACACAATGCACATTCCTGTCAGATAATAGTAGAGATGTCTGAGGAAGGCGATTCTGGGTAATTTTAATGGAATTTATGTGCGTTGGTGGAAATATTGGGGTTAAAGTCGCGGCGGAGCGATTTCGTGTGACATTCGCCCGTGTGTGACATTCGCATGTGGGTCACGTTAGGTCCCTGATTGAATATATGGTCGTAGTTTATAAAGGGACAATGACAGGAAGAGGGCAAGTATAACAACGTCTAGAATTGTCACCGTCTCAAGATGACATTAATCATTATTAGAGATACAACAAATAAATGCAGAATCTATGCTGAATAATTAAACTAGCAAATACCAAGCTGATTGATTCAAGGGGAGAAAACCGATGAGGGGATGTAAAGGTTGAGAGAAAGAGACGATGCAAGAACCATCACGGTGAAGTGATGGCAATATAAGGGCCATTATACATTGATATGCCCTGTCAGAGAGCTATAGATCCATGGGTTTGGTTTGCTTCAATATTGAGAGGATTAATAAATAGATTTATGGAGGTGCTAACCTCACTTTAACACGGGCTTTCGCTTAGTTCGATCTATCTCTGAAAACACCATTGGGAAGTCTCATCCTTCCTCCCTCTAATTCCACCCTTTCCCTTTTCACCCTTTTCAATTACTGTAGGACTCAAAATTTCATGTTGATGACTCTGGTTACCCGATCAAACACGGCTCGACACTGCGCAAACTCGCGCAGCCCAGCCCAATGGTCCGCTCGTACTCAACCACAGCCGCGTTAACCTGTGTTTCAGACGTCAGGTAGTTGAATCCCCTAAAATTCTCCGGGTTAAGCTGTGTTTTCCAGGTACACTTTCCTGCTGCCGATTGGATTGAGAGGAGATTCCTCTGGACTGCTTTCAACTCTTCGATCTGGTCAACGGCCTTCGATATCACCTGAATATCGGCAACTGCGCCACAAGCAGCTTTTAGCAGCTCATTGGTCTTCTTGCTTGTTAGGGCTTGGGCAGCATTACCCCAATCAACGGTATCGCTGACCGGGGATGGAAGTTGAGATCTGAAAATACCAAGCATTTGCTCTGCATCCTTGATTCGGCCTTCAGTCACTGCCGTGACTCCTTGCGCAAAAGATTGATGATCTCTCTGAGCCCTTTGAAGTCTTTGAACCAGCTCAGTTCCTTGTTGAATCTCTCTCACTGTTTTGATTTGACTTAAAATTCCAACAACCTGGCCGGAGAGATAGGATTTGGTGGCAGACTTGGCTATCGCAACAATGATGGCACATTTTTACTGCACAGATTGCGATTGCTTTTCAATTTCCGAGGCAGAGAGCCCGGCATAACACATGGACTGAGCTTGTGGTCGAGTGCCCTCACAGCAGGCTGCATTCAGTCTGTCAAACTCACAAAATGGTACATTCAATCTCCTGATTTCGCACTCAGTCAGAAGTTTCGGCCTCTGTGGTTCACAGGAAAGCTTCCGAGGGTCCCACTTGGAGTATCGCTTCTTGCAAGCATCAATTTTTCTTCCCACGTCATCTTTGCACTGTGCAATGGAATCTCTGGTTCTTTGCTTGCAATTGGCAACTTGCGTTCTGACATCCTGTTTGCAAGTATCAATCATTGATCGGTTCATCTCATCGCACACTCCAAGACCATTGAGATTCGAAACAACTATCGCTGGAGCATTGTATATCTGGAGAAGCCGGGCCAAATTTACGTAAAGTTTTTCACGCGCCCTGGCTTCCGCAACCCTCGTCCAATCTGTGGCCGACAAATCTCTGCCTTGCAGATGCGAAGGATCTGGGAGTGTAATATTCGTGAGGTCGGTTACATGAGCATCATTCTGTGCTTGGTTGTCAATGTGTTTGATATCAAGGCCGGCGACACGTGCAATCTCTGTTGTGGCTTCGTCCAATGGGCTTTCCGAATCAGTTGCATTCAAGATATCCAAGAACAAAGATTTATCTTGCAATTGTATCTCGCTGGGTTGGGCTAGAAGTGGTTCCGAAGTGTTGAGTTTCTCTATGCAAACTGGGTTGACTGAGCTGTTTGCATATACACAGCTTGATTCATCCAAAGGCCCAGTGTCAATCATATTATTGAGCAAGGCAGTTGTATCCTCGGCGGTATTTGGAATTGTGCCACTGCTGGGTTCAGGGCTCAGCTGGGCATCTTCACCAGCAGTCTGCCTTATATTGACTGCACCAGTAACGTGGCATAGTATATAGAAATATACAAGAATATTCTTCTTCATTGCTGATGGGTTAAAATAATATTTCAAAGCAGTGGATTAAGAATAGAATCCAAGATGAGTGCCATTTTCTTTTCCTGAGACCGGGTCTTATATTATCAGAGCATGTCGTAAAAGTTGTGCAATATTTATTTTGACACAACTATTACCCCATTATCTTTCACTTAGCTTTACTTCCCATAAAAAGAAGGGAAAATGATTGAATCATTTCCCTGCCGCTAAAGTCTAACAGAAAATGCGTCTACATAATGTCCTGCGGAGCCGAGATATGTATCAATCTCTGCCGCGGTTGTCTCAAAGGTCAATGTTACGAGTCTCCTGGAGTTCTCGATATTGACAGGAAATGATGTTACTAGTTCTGCTCCTCGGGCGATTAGTGTGGATTTGATGGTAGCGCTGTTCATAGTGACCATTTGTGAGATAGTGATAAGTTAGCATACAATACAGAGCTCGCTGTGTTTTTGGGGCTGACCCTTTTCCTATTATAGAGTTATATCGGTTTTAGATAAACAAGCACTCAAGTACTCTGACTGTCGTATACGGCAAAAATATATCGCCCTCTTTGATAAGACCTCGTCTAATCGTGGATCGTTGATACCTCCGATTCTTCGAATCCCACTTCAATATCTCTCCACACTGACACTGGAACAGTTAATTGGCGAGCAGCATCAGCCCAAAAATTGATAAAATAGCAGTCTCAGAGTGATTTGGACTACCACCTGCTTCTTAGACTACTACTCTGGGATGCTCCGAGAGTAATCAGGTGACACCCTGGGAGCTCCCGGAGCGAGCTGGGGCTCTACGGTGTCTTGTTTAGATTCGTGGTGATCGGATCGAAGGTGAAAGGGAAGTTTTTCGCCATGGTCCCTCCCAGCTTCATATCAAACTGTACCTCTAGGATATACAGTCACAACTCCAACTCATCAACACGGCAAATAATACCTTGTAAGCAATCAGGACAAACAAGCTGCTTAGCGAGACCACAGACAACCATATAGGACTTCTTCGTGTAAATAGACTTGCCTCTTCTTCCCTTTCCTTCTCCAGATTCGATATTCTAGTCGATGGCTACACTGGCTTAGATAGAAATATCATTTCATTAGTATCTACTGGTCTGAGCCCGTGACAGCACCGATATGCACGCAAACTTCGGCTGGTGGTTGTGCCGGGAGGTGATGCTTGGGAAGTGGCAAAGTGCTTGGAAGGGAATCATGACAAGGCTTGGGGCGAGGGGATTTTGGGTTCTTGGGGTGTATGGATTGAGTGATTTGTATGGTGAGAATGGCTTTCTGTGAGGGCGAGCCCACGGCTTGAAGCTGTTCATGTGAAAGGTAGGAGGTATATTTTTTTTAAAATAGGGATGTTTAGGGGTATATTTTGAGAACAGGTGATTGGGAAGAGGGCAGGGACATGGAAGCATCAGGGTGAAGTGGATAGCTCAATTTCCAATAAGCAAGAGTGACAAAGGTCTTAATGTCTCAATCGTTCAGATGACCCGTCGACCACCCCGAGGGGATTAGACAGTGCCATACTGGAAAGGGACAATCGTCGAGTAACGCGGCATCATGGTAAGGGGGCAGTGCACCGCGCAAGACAGACGGGAGGTGGGTAAAAGGAAGAGAAAGTGCGTACTCCTTCGAGGGAGAGATGTTAGGCTTTTATAGATGCAACGGATGCGTTGAGGCGGCGCTATCCTTGATGCAGTAAGCGCCATACCGCAAAGGACAATGGTGTTCCCATGGACGGCAGGCGGTATGGACCAGCAGAAGCGTAGTTCAATGGGAACCGTTTCTGGCGCTAACCGTCACAACAATAACTTATCTAGTAAAAACTGGGTGCAGATATATATATATATATATATATTTGTACCTGATTTGGTGGGGTAACACTGTGTGTTGCAGTATTCCGATCATGTAAAATTTGCTCATTTTGTTCATCATATAAACTGGATTCAGACATGGAATCTGGTACAGTAGATGAATCAAGGTTCAAACCAACAAGGTCATTGATCAATATATGATCATTCTCAACATAATCATAAAAATTGACCGTTTCCATGATGAGAACTAGTTATATTAAAATCAATGTATGGTATGTTACATTAAGCGGTACTAACAAATGGAGATCCTTGAAGACCAGTAGGGAACTTGTGATGAATGTGGAGGATTGGATACTGTGGTACTAAGCCTGGCCGGACCGATACCTCAGTTTCAACCCTACCGAGCAAAAATCTACGAGCACCCTGACGCCTGCCCTTCTTGTTGTGTAGTAGGTGAGCAGTGCCGCCCTGAACTCACCCGGTGGGGAGGTAAGGGCCGGGTGATGGGGCAGAATCTCACCCGATCGGCGAGTAACTGGATGATTAGTCTCGCACCGCCTCATCCTTCGCTTCTTGGGTTGTTTCACACTCCCCACCCAACGTCCAAGCAGGTTTCCAATTGGCTGTGTGACATGGCTTTTTCATTGGCCAACAGATCTCATTGCCGCACGATTTACGATTCACGAAAGCGCAGAAATGATGATGTCATTCATCCCCAGGGGTCTTTCTGCCAAACGGTCTCCACCATACAGGCACCGGACAGTCCACAGTGCCACCTTCCAGCCAGACTGACGTCAAGGCGAAGAGTCATCCATGCCTTATGCCTTGATGGTTTCATTATTCACGTGGCATTTGCAGGTAAAGCTGCAGCCTGCGACGACGCCGTGCGCCGTGTCGCATTCAATTCTTTCTCCTCGGACACAACCAAGTTGCTAGATTTTCGGCCACCACCATATCAGCAGGCAAGTATCTATACAGCATGGATCAGACCTACAAACCCACGCCATCGGCGCCCGTCATACGCCTGATGGTCCTCGAGACCGACAAGCCTCACCCAGACACATACTCGGAGCGCGGCTCCTTTGGCCGGATTGTCCACGCGCACTTTGCCCAAGCTGGACGCGCCCATCATCCGCCTCTGAGCGTGGAGACGGACCAAGTCTTTGTCGTGTCCGAACAAGGCGGCCGCGTCCCAACCGTGCAAGAACTCGACAGCTTTGACGGGCTGCTCATCACGGGCAGCATGTACGATGCGCACGCGAACAACCAATGGATCCTGGAGCTGCTGGAGCTCCTCAAGGCTCTCTGGATCAGACGCCCAGACTTCCACTTCGTGGGCGTCTGCTTCGGCCACCAGCTCCTCGCCCGCCTCCTCGGCGGCTCTGTTGGGCCCGCGCCTTCGCAAGACTGGGAACTAGGTCACTGCCGCATCACGCTCACGCCCGTCGGCCGGCGCCTCTTCGGCACGCGCGAGGACCACGTCCACCTGCACCAGATGCACCAGGACCAGGTTGTCACGCTGCCCACTGCTGCGTCTGCAGGGCCCGACCTACTCTCCCCGGACACCGAGGTAGCGTGCTGGGGCCGCAGTGAGCATACACCTGTTCAGGGACTGTACATCCAGGACCGGCTGTTTACTACCCAAGCGCATTTGGCGTTTGACGAGGACATGGTGAAACGACAGATCCAGATAAGGGTGGATCGTGGCGGGATCAAGGACCTTGAGCATGCGGATCGGGCGGCCGAGACGGCACATCTGGAGCACGACGGCGTTGAGGTTGCCAAGGCAATACTGCGGTTGTTTCTGTGCGACGAGGATGAAGTGTCTTAGGGTTAAGGAGGTAGATTGACGGTGCCCATGACTGTATAGATGAACAAGAGAGCCGAAATTGCGGGACACAGGTAACAGCATGGAACTTGACTAGTATCATGCATCATGGAAGCAAGCATATGCAAAAAAGAAGGGGAAAAAAAGGACTGTTACACTGTACACGGCTGCACCCAGTCTCCATCTATATATGGCCATTCAACCCACTTATTTCAATGCCGAACTGTATACTCCGTATACCAAACACCAACACTAATGCCAGCTTATGGATCCCCTAACCGGCAGGGGGTGGGCAGATCATAGATGCATATCGATATACGGCTGTCCTAAGCCCAGTACGGAGTAGAATAAACGAGATTTATAAGTAACGTAGTCCACTACCCAGCTGCGCACACCATCGAGCTACGCAGCTAGCATAAAACGCGTCAATTAATTAGACCTTCCTTCTTCAACCACCCACTATGTCACCAGTTCGCTCTCAACACTCTCAAAAATTAATAGAGCAAGAGGGTAGGTCTTACTAGCTGTCACGGCGCTGACGCGGCGTGCCTATACAGCTACCCTATGCCTCGTTTGCAACCTCAGCTTCCTGGCAGCAGCCACCCGGATACTATCTCTGCTCGTTTGACTGCTCCTACCCAGCGTAGCACTCGTTGACTGCCTCTATCCGTTTACCGCTTCGCCATGTCTCATCCCCTAGTTCTATTCATTTCTATCCGCTGCCATGGACCTGTTCCCTTCATGTATATTAGTTGGCTGAATGGCCTGGCGTTTTGTCTTTTTCTCTTCCCTCTCCAATTTGAAGAGTCTCGTTTATTTCTGCCTATTAGGCCAATCGAACTCTTTTTCGTTGCCTCTTAGTTGAGCCCGTGACTTTAACGCAGACATATGATAAGAATGACGGGATGCTTGGAGTCGACAACCTGGATCATTGGCCTGTCAATTCAGATGCATTTGATTTTCTCTCCAAAGTTTCTTCAACTGTGGCTATCAAAGCGCTCAAGCAAGGGAGTCAATTCTCAGTTAAATCTCCATATCCAGGTTCACTTAGTACTGACCTGATGCTGTGGAATAGCATCCACTTGTCAATAAACCAAATCAACATCACAGTCAACTTGTGTGCTTGACTTGACATACTGCAGTCTCTGCGAGGACTTTCTATACTTTTAAACCTTGAGGTCTTTGATGATAATTTGCTTCTTATTTCCTTTTAGCTATCAGACGTCATCTCATTCAGGAAAAAACGGCAATAAGGTCTGTTGGCCAATGAAAACCCTATGTCACACAGGCAATTGGAAGCCTCCTTGGACGTTGGATGGAAAATGTGAAACAAGCCAAGACGCGAAGATTTTTTGCTCGGTAGGGTTGAAACTGAGGTGTCGGTCCGGCCAGGCTTAGTACCACAGTATCCACATCCTCCACTAGAGTGGCACAGCGAAGCCGCACAATCCACGCCAATCCGCGCGGATTTTGGCGCGGATGCGGATCCAAGCTTGAGCATCCAAAATCCACGCGGCGTGGATGGAGGGCACCCTCCATCCGCGCCAAACCGCGCCGAATGCAACTCTAGGGTCTATTACTACTTGAAAATGGGTATAAGAATGATGCAGGAGACATATGAACACTATTTTCTTAACTTTGGCAGAGGCTGGTCGCGCATGAGAGCCCCAATTGATAGCGGCATATGCATAAAGTGGATTATGCTGGTGACGAGCTTTGTATTCATAGAGCGACGCAGGAGGCTCTGTTTGGAAGCTGTCAAAGCAGAGATAGGCGACACATTTGCAATTTGGGAATGTGCGGGCAGTCTCTTTCCCGAAGCGCAGCACGATCTATTTTGTACAAAGGTCAAAACAGTAGTTCAAAACGCAGCCGAAGTTTGGCTTCCTATTCAGCAATCGCAAAAGAAGTTCGAGGTAGACTTCGATCCTATTGATCCCGACGATAATGAATGGGATCGCTTCCCTTCTGCTGGCAAAAACACAACGCTGGTGGCACAAGAGCTTCATGGCTTTTTTCTTCTCAATGTCTTCCCGTGCATCTCCTTGGTGGAAGACGTCGATCATGATCCATTGACCAAGATCATTCAACTCCGCAGCTCCCAGGAATTATACTTGGCAGCACAGCACGAAGCCACCCAAACAGCAACCTCTGCTACCACTAGAAGGTATCCTACCCGTCCCAGGAGGCAATCAACTGCGGGATCGAATGGAACACCCTTTTTAGGTGGAAAGTCAATCAACAGCTGACTAGTGGGTTGTGGAAAAGGCTTCTGAAACGCTGACAGCTTTGAAGACTGACTATAACGGAGATGAGATTGGCATTTGAGAATCACCAGTGACGGTACTCTATATGAATCTTTTTGCTCGTATTCTTCCCATAGTTTGCATTCTCCTCTGTAAAATAATGTCTAAGGCAGCCCTCAGCCGTATCTCTGCGTAGCTCCGCAATTATCTTGGTAGATATTTGGACAAGAAGAAATACTTGAGCACCAACGAGCCGAGACACCCTGGTGACAAGGCGATCATTTACAAAATGGGTTGGTTGATCGAGCGTACAGCCACAATAAAACGTGCGAATCACGAGTCTTTGCCAAAAGGGCTGAAAATAAATAGAAGATCCCCCATCCCCCACCTTCAACTCTCAGCATAATTTATCCTTCCAGTGTTTCGCAATGAAAAACCCCATTCCCTTGCCGGGGAAGCGCGAAGTACGCAACATATGGGCATGGGCTCGTTCTCTAGCCCCTTCTCAGCGCTACGATGGGGCAGCAGATAGTGATCCACACGATACCGGGCTCCTCGTACTTCCCAGCCAACAGTCGCTGTCTTCCGTCTCGAAAACCATGACAAAAGAGCGGACCGTCCAAGATCAGACTCTTGTCACTCCTATACTAGGTGAAGCAACAGCTACTACCGACGAACACAGAGATATTCCAGCACATGTTTTGGAAAAAAACAAATCAAGTCCCTCCTGGGTTAAAGGTGTATACCTCTGTGGATACGCGACTGCCGGCCTCCTACTATCAAATGTCATATTTGTTTCCGCGGCTGGCGGATTATCGTCCAAATTCCCGGGAACAGGGGGATCCTCGAATTTAAAAATGATATATGACGGTTCTTGTGACGTGGCAGGTCGGTGGAACACAGGTCTCCACATCATAATCAACATTATCAGCACCTGCACTCTTGCAACGAGCAATTACTGCATGCAGACTCTTGTCGCCCCAACAAGAGATGAAATTAACATTGCCCACGCAAAACGTCGCTGGCTTGACGTTGGAGGTTCTAGTTTTAGAAACCTCTTCGCTATACCGTATGCCCGACTCGGTCTATGGATAGTCTTGCTACTTACTGCCACGCCGTTTCATCTAATGTACAGAGGTATGCCTATTGTTCTATTTACAGTGTGCTAATGTCGCCTTAGTTATAACTCACTCGTGTTTAAGAGCCTAAGTTACAATAATTACTGGTCCTTCGTCGCTCCACATGATTTTACGCTTGAAGACGTGCGAAATCTCACGACTCCCGCCTTACAGGATTGTTTTGGGATAGCTGCGGAGAGAAAAACGGGTGCAAGTTCATTTTTAGATGAAAGAAGATTCGACTGGGACCAACAAATTCTTCAGATTGAAGGATCAAAGAGTGAGAGGATCTCCGCCGAGAAATGCCACAAAAAAACAGAGACCAATAGCCAATCCGGCTACAAAGGGATAATTTTTCTGACGAGCAACCGAAGTATGAGCGATGGGGGAGCTGAGTCTGTCCTTAGAATCGAGGGCGTGGTCGTCCCCGGCCAAGTTTGGGCCACTCCGTTTGTGAATTCGGATCCAAAAAACATACAGGATCATGAATGTATACCCCACGATAATTCCTTTGCCTTAAACGACACAATTCACGTAACAGAGTGCCTGGCATTCGAGGGGAAAAGCAATTGCCATCTGTTTTACAGCCCTGTTATTGCTGCTATCGTTATTGTTGCTACCTTCGTCAAAGTTATTGCGATCTTCTTGGCCGCCCGAATTCATAAATCTCGATCAAGCCCTCTCCTCACCACAGGTGATGCGATAGTTTCGTTCCTGGAGGACCCAGATGAGACTACGAAAGGCATGTGTTGGGCATCGCTGGACAGCATCAAAAAGAGGAACTGGATAACATGTCCGAAAGGACAGGAACCACAACGGCAGTCCGTGAGATATCAACGTCTCACCAGGCCTCAGCAATGGAGAAGAGCATCTAGTCCAATGCATTGGTTTCTAACTGTGTTGATGTGAGCCTCTTGAACCCGATACGCAACTTGAATTCCTAGAAGCTAAACAAAATTAAGCGTCCTTACCTGCATGGTGGCTGCTACTGTCATACCACTCCCGGTCTTTGGTATAAACCCAGGCGGTAGCTTAATGACCGATCAACTTACATGGCAAGCGATATGGGACTTAGATTCCATGGCAAGACAACGTGCTGGTACTCTTCAAAACTCTCCAGAACTGCAAGGTGTGGTGATTGCGAATAGCGCCCAATTGGTAGTCACGCTCTGCTATTATTTCTATAATAGTCTTCTTACAAAGATGCTATTGAGTGCGGAGTACAGCTCTTATGGGGTTAACAGGAAGCCACTTCGCGTCACTTGGCCTGTTGAGGGTAGCAAGCAGCGTTCAACCTATTGGCTATCTATCCCATATCGTTACGGACTTCCAGCGATGGCCCTGTTCACAATACTCCATTGGCTTGTCTCGCAGGGGATCTATTTTGTTCTGGCTTTTCCTTACGATACAGACGGCAATCTACTGTACGCACAGAAGGAAAGCGCACCAGCGATCTCATATATGCCTTTAATATGCGCTGGTGCCCTTCTCGGTGTCCTGGGTATCATGATTATTGGTGTGTCATTCCGGAGACTCAAGTCAGCAATACCTCTCGCGGGAACTTGCAGTGCTGCTATAAGCGCAGCCTGCCATCTGCGCGAGAACGTTCGTACAGACACCGTGACGCACGGTGAGCTGATGTGGGGAGAGACCGATCTGCCATGGTCATTGGACAGCGGGGATGATGATGACGATGAAAGCGATGGCCCAAAGGGACATTGCAGTTTCACCCCATCAGAAGCAAGGCAGCCTTCTTTGGACAAGTTATACGCCTAGATCACAGAGTATCTTGCCCCTACGCTGATAACATACTCCTTTACTGATGGATTAGATGACCCTTCATCTATTGTACATTACTTAGTTACAATACCTAATTAAATACCATGCAATAGTCAATCAAAAGGGGGTTCTTTCAGGCAATTTACTTGTCGTTCGCCAGATCAGGTATATTGGTAGATAGGCGACGTTGACAAATATAACTGAGCCTAAAAGGTCTAGACTTCATATATACCGATCCATGCCGGATTGTCAGAACTACCGGGCCCGCAATCTAAAAATCAGCTAGTAGAAAAAAAGAAGCAGTCTGTCGTTCAAGCGTAGTCAGCCAGAGCAATCAACTTTTAGGCCGACTTTGTTACTATTAGTTACCTTGGTAATCTAAAAGTTTCTAGAGAGCCAACTAGAATTGATCTAAAAGCTGTACCTAGGTATGCTATGCTCAGATTAGGCTTTTGATAATTGTAATAACATTTCGGACAGGGCGAAGAGTCCGAAAGCGCTTGCTGAAGAAAGATGTTGTTAGTCTGTTTCGCGTTCCGTTTATATGGATAGAAGCCTATCTCTATCGTAGAGGAAGAGTGAGCAGCTGCCGCCTATCTAAGAGGGGAAAAGTTAGTTCATAATATATTCTCGGTCTATAGACAGAACTAGAGCCGTCTCAGCACAAGTTGAGGTATTCTCGCCCACTAGACAGGGCGCTTAATGAGTGGCTGTTGCTGAATTATTAACTTGGCTTGGGGCTTGCCACCGGCTGAGTGGGGGAAGCGATTATTTATCATTTAAATCCTTCGGTCTGGAGATAATCCAAGAATGCGGTAAATTTGATTTGGTCTGACTAGTTTTCGCTGTTGTTCTTTTTTTTCCTTCTCTTTAATCTGTCTATCATTTGAATTCAGATCTCAAAGGAGAGTGGTTCAATAGGAGCATCAGCAGTAGGGTGTTCGATGTCGCCTAGTAAACCCGGACTGGTGTGGCAGGTGTCACTTTCCTCAACGGATGAGTGCGTTGTGCGGCAGTCGGAATCATTCATATGCAACGAGTTGGACACTGAGGATGCTCCACTTGTTGGAGGTCGAGGGCTCTGTGGGGTTTTTGACCGGGAATTTGCATTTGGAGGTACACAAACTTCAGCTGGTGGCCGCGCCGGAAGGAGATGGTGTTTGGAATTATGTACAGGGAGCAAACATGGTGTGGAGGGACTTTTGTGTTTGGAAGGAGAGGAGCTGCTGGAGACAGACAGAATCTGGGTATCTAAGAGGATTTGGGGTCTGGTGGATATAGTGTGACTTGGGGCGTTTGGCTGGACGGGGATTCCAAGGTTTGAAGTTGTCAACGTGGAATGCGGATTGGAACATCCTCAGCAAGCAACAAAGTGAATGGAATGAGAAATGAGAACAGTTCAGGGAGAGGGAATGGGAATGTGTGTTTTTGGAGTGGATATCACGGCATCTCCAGTCCCAGGGTCAGTCACTTCTTATACCTCCAACCTTCAACCTGGGCGACCTCGATCCCTCCGTGCCATGTCTGTTTTCTCCTCCCTTATCCATGCAGGCCATGAAAAAGATTCAGTTGCTGACGTGTTTGTCTTCCCCTCCCGGGCCAAAAAAAGAAATCACTGGACAGGTCATTCGCGCTCAAGAGCCCAGAACTTCTCATAGCCAACAGTTGCAAGCGAATGCAGGGGCTGCGCCTCCAACATACAAATGACTGAATGCATGCTGGTGGACCCGGTCCAGGTCGCAAGGAAAAGGGGAAGAGGGGGTGCGGTATTTTCGCTATTCGATGGCAAGCATGGCAGGAATGCAGTAGTCCAATGCACCCAAGTGATCATCGAATGGTTGGACAAGATTGGTGCGAATGGTGCCAACTATAGCAACGAGGCTGTAAAGTCTGTTTCAGGTTGTGCGGTTGATAGAGCAAATGGAACTGGTCACAGAGGAGAGGCTGAAAGACTGAAGACAGTCAAATATTGAAAATTGGGTATCAATTGCTGTCACAACAACGGATTACCATTGTTGAAAGAGATGGTAGAGGGGAAATCTGGGGCTGGCGTGCTTTGATGATTGTCAAGAAAGCGTCACCAGCAGAGAAGAGAATTGGTCATTGAAGCCAACAAGGCAGCTACAAATTTTCGGAACTGGGTCAGACGACACATCGGCGACTCCGTAGAGGAGGGGATGATGAACAGGGAGAAATGAAGCGAGCGCCTTACCGAAAGAGTGCAATTTCATCGGATAACGCGGCATCCTTCGTGGGGGCCAGGGGGGCAATGCACCAGGTAGAAAGGATGGAAAGGAAGAAAAGAGAAGAGGAAGTGCGTCGTCCTTGGAGGGGGTCAGGCTGGGATTATATAGTTCAGTTGGCAGATGGTGAAAGCGGCGTGAGGGGGCCGCTATCCCCAAAATGGTAGGGGCCATACCACAACAGGCAGGCGGATAACCATCCACGGCAGGCGGTGGCGGACGGCAGACGGACTGTTCAATGGGAGCCGTTTCTGGCGCCCCGCTAACCGTGTCATCGAATACCCTATTTTAAAATTATTCTTAAATATTTATCATAATAAGCAGGAGAAATTACCAAGTGTACTAGAAAATCTGGCACATACGTATTTCAAGATAGAAACCAAGGGTTTGTCAGCTACATAAGTGTCATGTGGGAGTCTCGAAGTAGTTAAACAAGCGATAATTATGCTAGTGCGGCGGCCGTGGGCACTAGGTTAATACCCATAACCGCGGTTATGCCGCAGTCTATACTAACGTGTTTTTGCGGCTTCTGTAATCACCGGGGGGTTCAGTTCAATTGCCTGATTACCTTTTGTATGAATTCCGTGGCAATTTTACCTACAAGTATTTAAAACGGAGACACATTTACTTTCCCTACTTCGTATATACATTGTGTTCGGTTGTATACTACGGAGTACGTACGGTTTGGTATTTCCACTTAACCAATGAGAGGTCTAACGTTGATAACAATAACGCACCAGTAAGGATACTCTAGCCAAGCATGTATCTGGCAGTTTCTGATTATTACAGGCGGGTTTAGGCCCCCCAGAATGCATAAGAGCTATGCTTATCATCAATCGAGCATATCCAACAGTGGATACAATATGAAGGAACAGGGCTTCGACATAGTTGTTCAAAATTTATGCATGAAATGTTGCTACCAAGTAGTATACCGCTTCAAGGACAGGTCTATACATCGCTGATTCGACTTGATAAGTCTAATATACATACAAGTGCGAGTATCAGATCGTCAGATCTCTACTTGCCCTAATCTCGTTTTATTCGTTAGAAGCGGCAGCTATGTCGGACTTAATCGGACTTAGTCTACTAGATTAAATCCGAGCATCTCATGGTAGCCGTTATATAAATACCCGCTTACGGTCCTAGAGCATGTTACCCAATAAATTGCACCTTCTCACACCATGGACCTCCTTTACAACCAACTCTTCGAAACCCCTGCATATCCGGTCGCGACTTTTACCGGTCAGACTATCATTGTCACCGGCTCCAATGTCGGACTCGGATTGGAAGCAGCGCGACATTTTGCTCGTCTCGATGCGGCAAAAATCATTCTTGCGGTTCGCAATATCTCCGCTGGCCAAGAGGCAAAGCAGGACATTGAGGAATCAACCGGTCGCTCCGATGTATGTGAGGTGTGGGAACTAGATCTTGCTTCTTTCGAGTCCGTGAAGGCTTTCGCAGCGCGCGCCAGCACTCTTCCCCGTCTGGATGTTGTGGTAGAGAACGCTGGCATTGCGACGACTACATTCACCAAATCTGAAGGACATGAGCGTACAATCACCGTCAATGTGATCAGCACTTTCCTCCTTGCTCTGTTGCTTCTCCCGAAACTCAAGGAGACTGCCAAGGAGATTCCATCTTCTACACCTCATGTCTCAATCGTGTCGAGCGAGGTGCACTCGTGGGTTCAGCTAAAGGAATGGAAAGCCGACCTTGTGTTTGACACCCTCAGCGATGAGAAAACCGCCAACATGCCGGAGCGCTACCCAGCATCCAAGTTACTAGAGATCCTAGTTGCCCGTCAGATTGCGCCAAAACTTGCGGGCTCTGGTGTTATCCTCAACATGCTTAACCCAGGTCTTTGCCATTCATCGCTCCAGAGGGAGAACATGTCCAATGCGTTTGCGAGGGTGGCTATCGGCATTGCCATGAAAATTTTCGCACGAACCACAGAAGTTGGTAGTCGTACGCTTGTTGCTGCTGCCGCAGCTGGCCCGGAGACACATGGGGCATATATGACGAACGGTAGAGAGGGAAATGCGGCGCTATCATCTTTCGTTAAGAGTGAAGATGGCAGCAAAGCACAGGAAAAGATTTGGAACGAATTGAGCGAGATATTGGAGGGTATTCAACCAGGCGTTACTGCTGTGTTTTCTTAAATTAGGCTCACCGTTGGATGCCATTTGGGAGTGAGTACAGACAGGAGTATCGTAGAGCTTCCCGAAGACCCTTGCTAATGCCTTACTCTTACCTAGAGAAATATCAAAGACTCCTGGGGCAATTAATGTTACCAAAAACCTCACCCAAAAGATCAGCGTCCATTCAGAGATGGAAGAGGAAATGAGTGAATTGGGGACATATTGACGTGCTTGCCTTAGTCATCTATATTCATAATGTCCTGTTTATTTTGACAACACTTCTTCTCTCTCAATGACATTCTCTCCCAAGACTTCCGTTTTATTTCGCTGGAGGTCCTGAACCTCAGTTACAACAAGAAATTTGCGGAATGCCACCAATGTTGGACCAATCCGAATCCATCCACATTTCGGACAGCCGAACCCAAGCAGACCACCACAAAGGCATCAATATCCCTCAGAAATGAAATATCATGCTGTCTCGTTTGTCTGTCCCAATATGTGCCCCTGTCTGGCGATCGCTAACGAGTGTACAGCGTACAGGTGGCTGACCCTCGCGAGAGCTGAGCCCAGGGGCCAAAGGGGAGGAGTGTCCCGTACAGCCATTCGACTTTGAACATTCTACGAGCATCTTTCATGGCCCGCAAAAGGCCAATCCTGGCTATTGTCGGTCTGTATCCGGCCGCGACAGTCATGCCGAGATTTATATACGAGTTTTTGACGATCTTTCGAATTTGGATCGGGAAGATCTGTTGCCTATCGCCATTGGGTGATGGACCCTACGTTCTCCGCGAAATTGAGGCTGCTAGCGAGAAATCGGCGATACAAACGAGGAATTGACATGTCAAGTTCACCCCAATGACCTACAGCTTGAACGTGAAGCAAACGATACGGACATAATTTTACGCTGAAATTGACCTTCTGGTATTGGAATAAACGACCTGTCTACCTTTGGTATATGCCAATTGGACAATCAAGAATTGAGCGGCACGGTCCCAGGATTGCCCAGAATTATCCACAAATTGTCCGACACATTTCCATCCAGCCCTCTTGTGAGTCACTGAATTTATTGGCGCTGCCCTGGCGCTAATGTGTACAGTGCGTCGACGCTATACTAGAAAAGGTTGCCTGTTGGGTTGCCTAACTTGTGGATGAAGGAAAACCACTAAATCTGGTATCCCGGTGCCACCGCGATGGGAATCTACAAGCGAATTCGGGAAAGATTCCCGTACTTTGGGGTGGAGTGCTGCATCTGCGGAATGGCTTGGCGAGAATAAACTGCGCCAACCATCTGGTTCACGGTGAAGGATTGGTGTTGTACTAGTCTGGACAAACCTTGACCTCCGGCAAAGCATCCATGGTACTTTGCAACGTGTTTGTTTTGAGGGACGGTGAACGGGATGAACTGAGGATTGGAGGCTAGTCGACCGCCTTTCACCACTCTCTACTATTCTAGTGTTTGCTATTTGCAGGAGAAACACTACATTATTTTGGTTAAATTTCATTGAAACGTACCACCCTGGTGTGTCTGAAGACTCCAGCTCCGCTACGTTGGCTGTCATGTTGAGATCCCGCGTCAGGGACTCTTCAAGCTGGGACATTGTTCCGTCGTCAATACGAGGGATCTACAACATATCTTCACCAATCGAAATAAGCGTCCCTTAGCGCCAAGAGATGCAGGGTCATTCCTAATGTTAGCTGGGCATTTTATAGTGTCATGAAATCGATTCCCCGTTGACCTGCTGGCCCCGATCTACATAGCGATCATCCTCCGCAGGCCACCATCTTCGTATCTGACGATGATCGAAATCGAAACACGAACTTAGCATCTTGCCCGAGGCCTGGGATTGAGGCTTCACAATCTGCGACTGTACTTTGTACCCTACATCTTTCACGGGATAGGGAGGATGGGGACGTCGAGATTCGAATATAAATACCCCCATCGTGTCTGTCTTCATCGACAACCATCCTCCTCAGCTCCAATACTCAAGGCCACTACAAGACTTCCGAAAAAAAAAAATCCTCAGCTTTCTCTATCTACCAGGAAAATGCAGCTCTCTACCATCCTCACCTTCACCGTCGCCCTCTTGGCCGGCCACGCCCTCGCCAGCCCCGAGCTTCAGAAGCGCACCACTTGCCAGGCCTGCAGTGTTGCCGGCATTGAGGGTGGCGCTGCCTGCTGCTCTGCCCACGTATGATTTTACCACTACGAGCACGTTAACGGACTTATACTGACTGATGTGAATAGTGCGTTGCCCTGGGTAACATCCACGGCGGTCACTGCGATGACGAGGAGTATGCTTCCTTTTCTTTCTCTGTTTCCTGCTGAGTCGATACGGAATTACTAACTTGGTTATAGCTACTGCATCTGCAACTAGATGTCTGATTGGTGAATTGATGTATAGGCAACCCGGAGGTGGATTTTGAATGGTGGATGTCTATTGCTATGTCGGGATTTGTATCTACTATGAAATGATACATTTACACAGGTCTTCGTCCAGACTTGACAGCGTAGTTGTGGTATTTAGAAGAAGAATTTCAATAGACCGAACCGTATAATGATGAAGCACTGATCTCTCTTCGTAGTTCTTATTCGCACACTTCAATCAGAGTATGCCCAAGGCTCATCCGCTCCTCAACACCCTTCGTCGCTTGGTGAAACTGTCCCATCGCACCCTTCATCTTCTGCTAGACCCCTTTTCTAAATAGTCACAATGGCTTCTACAAACCAAATCGTGCGAAACCGCCTCGATGTTTTGCGTAACCAGCTCGCAAACCCAGACAAAGCCTCCGTCGCCGACGATGGCCATCACATAACAACCCAAGCGCGCTCAACAACCTCCACATACCTCAATTCGATTTCGAACATCCAGACGTTGAAACAAACACAAATTTTGTCCAAACCTATGTCTCTGAGCGAATTACAGAAGTCCCCTGTGAATCCCGGTGAGATGGACGAGGGGCGTAGTTCTATGGTCTACCAAGATAGACCTGATGATTTGCACTGGAATGCAAAGACATGCGCGATGCGTATCTGTGACTATGTAGAGGATTGGGCGACTGGTAGTGCAAGGGGGGTTTTGGATCTTTTGAAGATTGGAGGACTGCAGAATCAGTTTAGTAGTTTTTGGTGCCTTCCATAAACTTGGATTTGATGCTAACTGCATGGGTCTAAAATTCCCAATCTCTTCCTACTCATCCACTGTTAGTCTCCGTCATGTGCGCAAAACAGTGAAAAGCAGAGATGAAGAGTCCGATAAACTCTTTAAAAGAATAGTAAAGCCGCAACTTGGCTACCATGGCGAGCGTTGGTTCCCGATTGAGGAGCATTTTCCTGTTCTGTTGCTTTCGTTTGTTGGTCTGCAGCATGGGTGGATGCTCTATGCTTGCATGGATAAGGAACAAATTATTAGGCAGCCGAGGTTGTATATTTTTGAGCGCGAGGATAATGCTCTACTTGATTTGTTTGCGAGGTCTCTTGGTCTTCCGATATAGAGGTATGTATTAGATGCCAACCGTCCTCTCTTTCGAATATATACTTCTACAGATATGTCATTCTATTTTTCCAATATACCAACACCAACGCCTTGAGTCGGGTAATCCAATAAGCATCATGGCATCTATCTCTCTTCTGCACCACGAAATTGCCCGCGAGTGTACGTTATCTAGCCAGAGTCGTTACAGACCCCGAAATCCACATCGACGTTCCAGACCTTCTTCCCAAATTGGACTCCGCACAAAGATGAGGAAAAACTGGATGGCAGTACTGAACCAGTCAGCCGTGGCCATGTACTATGCGTGCCCGAGAGAAACCTGGGGTCTTGGCTATGGCGAACAGGGTATAGAACAGGGGAGGTTTCGGGTGGCGGTAAGTGGGATTAGTGGAAATGGAAGGTTCCGCTTGGGAGTTAGAGATCCCCGGAGGGTATCTTGATATTTAATGCGAAAATGATGGTTATGTACGTGCGCTATGTTGTACTCCGTGCTTGAATGTCACTTGTTCATGGCCTTTAACCCGGGCAAAACTCATGGATGATCAGCGCCAGATATACATCAAGAGCCAGGTCGCTTACAGAGCACAGCGTGCTCTGACCGACGTAACACGGTCCCAGAGGTTGAGCTTGATTGCTTGTTCAACAATTAGCCAGCAGTGAATCGCCAGACGCAGCATCCATATTCTAGTGTGTGATTCGTCTTTAGTAGCCTCCGGATGCAGGATCTTATAGCGAGCATAACCTGACTGACGTGTTGCTTAACTGTCCATATTTCTGCTTATGCTGGTGCGTATGGGCCCGTGTTCACAAGTAGTCTGGTCACCTGGAACCAAGTTCAAGTCGTGGAAAGCATCTACGGGGTTCTCTCCCTCTCCATGGCAGTGAAGAGATGTGCAATCACGACTGTCAATACTTACCGTTCTGGTAATACCACCACGCGCATTACTTGCCACATAGCTGGGTAGCCCTTGCACGCAACGCCTGCTGCGTATTGATTGCTATAGTTAGGCGTGCAATGCCTGCAATGCCTGCAACAATGAGAGTCTGACATAGCCACAGACATCATTAATCTAAGACCTACGACGCTCCTTGTATGTGCTCGCCGGCTGTACGGGAATGCCATCTTCCGCCCTCCCGATCCCAGTCATGGCAGTCGCAACTATGTATTCCATCCTAGGCGTAGAAGCAAGAAGCCTTGATGATACTTTCTGTTGCTATAAACTACTGACAGCGAGGAGCCATCAATGATGTAAAACGGTATCAGGCATACAACACCCTTGCATTAGACAGCACTGCAGGAAATGCATAGAGCTCAATGAAGGCATTCGCATATTTTCCGCATGCTTATCAGTAGTCAAGTTTTTCTTGATTGAGCTAATGGTATCATGACAGGTCCTCGTCTAGGGTGGCTTAGACTGATGTACAGAGTACTCCGAGTACAATTGAATGGTACTCTCGATGTTGGTGCTCTGGTATTTGCAAGCATAAAGTGCATTCGGAGTACAAATGCTGGATGTAACCCGAACAAATTAAAGTTCAGTGGGTCCCGCTAGTGGTGGCTGTGTAGATCGGCGCTTATGTAACGATTGTGTCAATGCAGAGCATATTCAGTGAACCTAGAGAGTAAGTTATGTGCTAGAGTGCGTACAAGTATTCCGTAGAGGAACTGGACTGAACACAGGATTATGCAGAGTACTTCACAAACAGTAAGCGGAGAATGACAGACTATGTCTCTCATTTTAAATCAAGAAATATAAGTGGTGGTTTAATCATGAAAAAATGGGAGAAAAAAGGAGGCATTGAGGCAGTGCAAAGCGCCAAGCATCAACCATCAAACCCGGGTTGGGCAGGTCGCCGGAACTGGCTGGAACTGTGCGCATTCGTCACTTCTTATCATACAGCGCGTAGCGCTCTAATGTCACCACCCGGTACAGACTAAGCAGGAATACCAGAGGGATTCAACGCGATGCTTATATCCAAGTTTAAACTAAGCAATTGTGTAGTGTTGTATCCTGCAGCCGTAATACCGTTACCCGTCTTGTGGTCTGGACTACTGCTATGGGGCATATGCGGCCCGGCATCGTTTGTTATTGGCGGAATAGCAAACAGGGTCTGTCACAGATGGTATTGTAATACATGATGTGACTTCTTTCTCTCCCGGCCTGAGCTACTCTCATAGCTTCACTTTTCTCACTCTACCTCATTGTCCCTTTTGTCGGTGTGCTTTGGGCAGGTTAAACCCCGGAGATCTTCTGTCTGACTTTGCTAGACTCCCGGCCGTCGATTCCTTGTTCTCACAGCCCAGGGTTCGTTGCAGTCCAGCGCACACGATCTCGCCCGACAATCCTCCTCACTTTCCTCTTTGAACCCGACGAACAACGAAACTCGCTGCTCGTCTGAATCGCTGCTCTGTGCGTCGACTACTACTCGCCAGTGCTTCTCATTCGACGCTCGATTCAGTTGCCGCCTCTCAGCGCTTCAACGTGGGTCGTTTAGAAGAACCAGCGTCAATCCCCAGCCAGCTGGCTTCCGTCCCAGTTTCTTTCCAACGCCCTCCCCAGTCGCCACACAATAGGCAATTTCTGAATTTCGGTGCTTGGACGATCTATGCCGGCTTTCGGTCGTCTGGATATTATTACTCCGGTTGTTCGGACTGTGATGGCCAGGTGAAGAAAAGAAAAAGAAAAGAGGAAACGCCGTCCATATCCGAGAACGCTACCTTGCCATATGGAATACCTGCCTGAGGACGACATCCTTTGCTAACCATCGACTGTTATACGGCCAATTCGATCGAATATATACCTATGACAGGTCGTTCGACTACCTGATTCGTTGGATACTCTCTCCCAGGAACACGCCGCATTCTTAACCTGATATCGCTTACCTCTTCCGCTCCCGTTTAATCCCCATTCCCTTTCCTGGAAGAGTCATCCCTTGGTCGATCATGTCCGAACCCTCGAATTCCAATCCAGACCCGGAGGATTCCAGACAACCCACTCCCCTGCGCCGGGAACGGGCCCCGACCATCACCATCGACACCTCTGCCGTAACCCCGGACAGCCCTCAACCTCGGCAGGTACAACCAAGTGCTCCTCAACCATCCTTGCGAGTGTCGACGGGCAATGACAATTCCGACACCAGTGCCCTTTTGAACAACGGCAGTGTTTCTCCTTCGGACGGCCCGCCGTCGTCCATTCGCTCGTTCACCTCGTCCGAGCCGCGAGAGCACGATAGCCGTCCAACGTCTCCCCACAACTTCTCCTCACCAGCCTCCAAGCTGACGGAAAGCATGCAGCACTCCAACTACCTGGCTGTCCCCGGTGCCAGATCCCGCGGCAACTCCATTGAGTCTGAGGACACCAGTCCCTCTGCCAGCTCGTACGGTGGGGACACCTATGTCCCCGATCGATCTCAGAACTCCCGCTCCGATCTGACCAAGGATCACCTCGAGAGCGCTGAAGACGCCCTTAAGCCTGAACCCGGCCACGAAAGCGAATTCGAGGTGGACGATAACAGCTTTGCCTTTTCGCCAGGCCAGCTAAACAAGCTGCTGAACCCCAAGAACCTTGGCGCTTTTCACGCCGTGGGTGGGTTGCGTGGTCTTGAAAAGGGTTTGCGCACTGACCTTGCTAGCGGACTGAGCGTGGACGAATCAACCCTGGAAGGAACGGTAAATTTCGAGGAGGCGACGGCCGCGGCGGCGGCTGACTCTCCAACATCGTTGCCCAAATCGGGTGCTCAGGTCCAAGAGCAGCAAGTTTCCAGGCCCGGGTCATCCAAGTCAAGTGACGAGTCGTACGCGGAGCGTAAGCGTGTCTACGGGCCCAACAGACTTCCCGAGAGGAAAGCGAAAAGTATCTTCGAACTGGCGTGGATTGCGTACAACGACAAGGTCTTGATTCTGCTGACTATTGCCGCTATCATTTCGCTTGCACTCGGTATTTACCAGTCTATCACTGCTACTGACGGCGAGGCACGAGTGCAATGGGTCGAGGGCGTGGCTATTATCGTCGCCATTCTGATTGTGGTTATTGTTGGTGCGGCCAATGATTGGCAGAAGGAACGACAGTTTGTGAAGTTGAACAAGAAGAAGGATGATCGCCACGTCAAAGTGAGCCGGTCCGGAAAGACGGCGGAGATCTCCATCTTCGATGTCCAGGTGGGTGATGTTATGCACCTGGAGCCAGGTGATTTGATTCCCGTCGACGGCATCTTTATCGGTGGTCATAATATCAAGTGCGACGAGTCGTCTGCAACAGGTGAATCGGACCTCCTGCACAAGACCAGTGGTAACGATGTCTTTCGTGCAATTGAGGACAATGAAAGTCTCAAGAAGATGGATCCGTTTATTATCTCTGGCTCTAAAGTGTCTGAAGGTGTTGGTACTTTCCTCGTAACTGCTGTCGGTGTTCATTCAAGCTACGGAAAGACGATGATGTCTCTCCAAGACGAGGGTCAGACTACGCCTTTGCAATCGAAGCTCAATGTGCTCGCGGAATACATCGCCAAACTCGGTCTGGCATCGGGCTTGCTGTTGTTCGTCGTCCTTTTCATCAAGTTCCTTGCTCAGCTGAACGACTATGAAACTCCCGACAAAAAGGGTCAAGCTTTCCTGCAGATCTTCATCGTTGCTGTGACGGTTGTTGTTGTCGCTGTACCCGAAGGCTTGCCTCTGGCTGTCACTTTGGCACTGGCTTTTGCTACGACACGTATGTTAAAGGACAACAACCTGGTCCGTCTGCTGCGGGCCTGCGAGACCATGGGTAATGCGACGACTATTTGCTCTGATAAGACAGGAACGCTCACAGAGAACAAAATGTCCGCCGTTTCAGCTACTCTGGGAACAAAGTTGAAGTTTGGAGAAAAATCTCAGAAGGATGGATTGAACGCCGACAATGCAGACAACGACGAGCAGAACTCGAGCGGATTGCCCAATGACATGTCGCCTTCGGAATTTGCGTCTAGCATTTCCGCTCCCGCCAAGGACCTTCTGCTCCAGTCTATTGTGCTCAACTCTACTGCTTTCGAGGGCGACCACGAAGACGGAGGAACGACTTTTATCGGATCCAAGACGGAGACTGCTTTGCTTGGGTTTGCGCGGACGTATCTTGGCATGGGACCATTGGGTGAGGCAAGGTCTAACGCGACAATTGTCCAAATGGTCCCGTTCGACTCGGGTCGCAAATGCATGGCTGTGATAATCAAACTCGGCAATGGAAAGTATCGAATGTTGGTCAAGGGTGCGTCGGAAGTTTTGGCGTCCAAGGCAACTCGTATCGTCCGTGATCCGACAAAAGACATCACCGAAGCGCCCATGTCCGAGGAGGATCGCTCGACCTTGGACAATATCATGATGAAATACGCCTCTCGTTCGCTGCGGCCCATCGGAATGCTGTACCGTGACTACGAACAGTGGCCACCCCGCGGGGCGCCAATGGAGGAAGACCGTAAGACCGTTGACTTTGACCAGATCTTCAAGGACATGACAATGTTTGGTGTCTTTGGTATCCAGGATCCTCTACGTCCTGGTGTCGCAGAGGCTGTGCACCAATGTCAGAAAGCTGGTGTCTTTGTGCGAATGGTTACTGGTGACAACCTCATGACAGCTAAGGCTATCGCACAGGAGTGTGGAATTTTCACCGCGGGAGGTATCGCTATCGAAGGTCCCAAGTTCCGCCAGCTCAGCACTCGTCAAATGAACCAGATCATTCCCCGTCTGCAGGTCGTTGCCCGGTCCAGTCCCGATGACAAAAAGATTTTGGTTTCCCGGCTCAAGGCTCTTGGTGAGACTGTTGCTGTTACGGGTGATGGTACCAATGATGCCCAGGCGTTGAAGACGGCTGATGTTGGTTTCTCGATGGGTATCACCGGAACGGAAGTGGCCAAGGAGGCATCTGATATTATTCTGATGGACGACAACTTCGCTTCAATCGTCAAGGCCATGTCTTGGGGTCGTACTGTCAACGATGCCGTGAAGAAGTTCTTGCAGGTATGGACTACTCTTCGAATCTCGTTTTGTTTTAACGCTGACATATTTTGTAGTTCCAACTTACGGTCAACATCACTGCGGTCCTTCTCACATTTATCTCTGCAGTCGCTAATAATAGAGAGGAATCTGTTCTTACAGCCGTGCAGCTGTTGTGGGTTAACCTGATTATGGATACATTCGCTGCTCTTGCATTGGCAACCGATCCCCCGTCTCCCCATCTGCTCAACCGCAGGCCCGAACCGAAGTCCGCGCCCCTCATCAGTCTATCAATGTGGAAGATGATGATTGGACAAAGTATCTATCAACTGGTTGTCACGCTTGTTTTGAACTTTGCTGGAATGTCAATCTTTGACTACACGACCGAGCACGAAGCGGACCAGCTCGAAACCGTGGTGTTCAATACTTTTGTCTGGATGCAAATTTTCAACCAGTGGAACTCTCGTCGCATTGATAACGGTCTCAACATCTTTGATGGCATTTTCCGCAACAGGTGGTTTATGGCTATTCAGTTCATTATCGTCGGTGGTCAGGTTTTGATCATCTTCGTTGGTGGACAAGCCTTTTCGGTCGAGCGTCTCAGTGGCTCACAGTGGGGTGTCTCGCTTGTTCTGGGTGTGATATCTCTGCCGGTTGCCATCATTATCAGGTTAATCCCGGATGAGTTCGTTGCCAGACTGATTCCGACATTCTGGCGTCGGAAGAAGGGCCCCGAGCTCATGATCTCCGATACAGAAGACCAGAGGCGATTCCAGTGGAATCCAGCCTTGGAGGAAATCCGCGACCAGCTGAAGTTCATCAAGACACTCCGCGGAGGTCGCTTACATCATCTGAAGCATAAGCTCCAACACCCACAAGAACTCCTCCCTCGCTCCCGCAGCGGCTCACGATCTCGCGAAGACTCACCCCCTTCGACCCCCACTGGCGAAAACAGTAACGGCTCACTGTCTCCCCAACCACCGCCTAGCCCCGATTCCCGCTCTCGCCGCCGAACCCGCTCCCGCTCCAGTTCTGCCTTTGGCCCAGCCGCTGCCATGGCTGGTGTTGTTGCAGGTAGTATTGCGGGTTGGTCACCTATCGAGCGTCCACATGAGGAAACAGAGGCCATCAAGTTTACCAACGATGCGCCGCATCGCGGACTGGACCGGCAGCAGGGCATTGAGATTCATCCCGAGACTGCGGCGGATGACCAGGTCGTGGGGGAATACAACGCTACATCGACTACGCCACCTAGTCAAAATCCAGACTTGATCCCATTCTTTGAACATGCACCACCTACACGTGCACCGTCCAGTCGGAGTAACAGGTCGAGGTCGAGATCTAGTCAAGGCTAGACTCATTGTTATAGTGTATCGTTGAATATTTCCTTCTCTGTCAAATATTTTCCCTTCTTACCCTCTTTTATTTGCTCTATCTTTTGCTCGTGACCAGACCAGTTACCACTATGTTTTATAATCTTCTCCCCCCCCCCTTTTTTTTTTACGGGTTCACAGGACAGGACAGGCGTTTTCACTTGTGAAAAGTCCATGTACACTTTTTTTTTTCTTTCCTTTTTTAACCATTGTTTGCTGTTGCAGTTGATATAGACACTCCTTTGCATTGGGTTGGGTTGGATGGCGTTTTTATACACTGTTGATACTTAATCAGACTTGGTATGCTGTCTCATTGTCTCGAGTACGGTCAATTGCCTTTGGCTTATTGTCTAGGGTAATGGAGTGAGCGTATATAATAGTTACTTGAAGTTTCAAATTATTTGCATCTTAGTTAAATTGGCTGCAATGGTTTCTTTGATGGTTCATAGGTGTCACCGTACCTAATTGGAAATCGTATCGCAAACCTACTACACTACAATAAGCGCGTCGAGACGGCGAAATCGTTAGATCCGGGTTGCCACAGTGGAGACAAGCGGAAGTGGAGCGGGAGGGATCTCGACAAAAATTTCAGATTGATGAGTAAAGAGAGTGGTGTATATGAGAATCGACGTGCGTAAATGACCCCGGGGCTATTGGAATCAAGTTGGTTCTGGTACTAGCATCAAGGGACAAATTGGGTGAATATACTTGCTTAAGTTCATCTAACCAATCCTACGCACTACGCTGGCCATCTTCGTATTTGAGATGTTACTGCAGAGAAATATTGCAGTAGATCATGAAGCTGAGCCATAGGTTTCATATTTATACTTGTCCTGCTGATGAACCTCTTTATTTACCTTCTCAAACGATATCCATGTTGATGGTCTTGGTTCTTTAAAGCTGATATTTGTTCCAAGAAAGGAAGGTGGTAGAAAGAAGGATTTTGCTAGCATCTTGGATTGTTTGCAAATGGTATTAGTTTCCAATTTTTTTAAGTGTAGCGGCTTGATATACAATCCCACTTGGGAAGCCCTACTATGGTGGTCATCTCCATGTATTTTATGGTGAGTGTATGGATAGTAAATTTCTATTTATACCACCATTGATATGATATTCTCCATTCATTAGCAACCTAATTCTACGAAAGGTCGTTAGTTCAGTAGGGAGAAGAGGACTGCATAGGTGTGGTGTAAGTTCTTGCACAGAAGCCCTAATATTTACACTCGCTGCTCTGCTTCCCCTCGCGGTTGTATGTTATTTCGAGTTATTGCGCCCCTAGAATGGAATAGAAAAGAACATACTACATCATGATCTTCGTCTTCATGACTTCCTCTGCATTCAACATTTCTGCATAAAACATAGCAACAGAGCGAAAAGCCGGACCAAGAGTTTCAAAGCATCACTCACCCTGCTGGTAAATCTCACCCAGTTTTTTGAATAATATGCATAGTGAATGACGTGGCTTGTCAAACGTGACATTTGTTTCATGAAAGGCCGGGGTAAAGAAGACTGTCTGACACCTTGGGTGTCTGGTTGAAAGTGGAACCTGTTAATCGGTGTTAGATGATATCTACGTTCAAGCTTCCCGGTTACTGGATCATAACAACCTGATCAACATGCATGTAGGCTTCAGCCATCCTTTAAGGCCCCAACCCGTGTGTAAGGCTTGTTTAATCGTCTTCTATCGTCATTTTAGCAGCAACGTTGAGAACATCTTGATTGGCAGGTGAAATTGTAATGCATTGCTGGTTATCCATTTGTAAATAGCATTATCCACTTTTTCTATCAACAAATTTAGTGCACTTGAGCATTCTATGCGCCAGTGCTGCTGGGAATTCCACTAGCAGGCATACTTCCACTGGGAGCACCGCCACCACCAGCACCGCCACCACCACCACCCATAGCCTTGCTATCAGCATTCGCATACCCGCCATTCTTTCCCCGATAAGCCGCAATGCTATAGTAATCGTTGTCGGTATAATCGGCAGTCGCATTGACACCAATCTGAATCCACGCAAACAACCCATCCTCAATATTCTCGCCCAGATACACATACTCCGGGAACGGATCATAAGCCGAGCTAGCCTGCTCAATACTCCACATGTCATCGTCGTTGGAGACGATGTCCTGCGTGTTCGTGTTGTACGGGTATGTGGCTTCGACGGCCGAACGGAGGTCTTCGGGCCAGAAGAGTTGGCCGATTTGGGCGACGCTGCCGGTGCCTGCTTGGAGGGTGTTGTTGGGGAGGAGGGTGGCGTTGAGGTGGGTGAGGAGGTGTGTGTGGATGGCGCGGCCGGAGTAGTGTCCCGGGAAAATGGTGTCGAAGTTGACGAGGCCGTCGTGGTCGGTGCGTTGGATACCACGGAGGTAGGTTGAGTTGTAGCCACCCTCGGCGTAGTTTCCTGAGACGGAGATTCCGCTATTTTCATCAGCATTTGTACTTGTAGCTAAGGGAGAGAGGGTAGGGTGTACCTGTAGACACCAGTAGCATTGGCTTGCCAGATATCAACAAACGCACCCTCAACAGGACGGCAGCTGTTGATGTCGATATACTGCACCTCGAGGTACAGATCAACACCATCCGAGTATTTCTCCTCCTTGACATTCTGGCGAATCGTCTCGCCCCAAGCATAGTAAGGTCCATCCGTGATGGTCGGGGTCAGGATGCAGCTAGTGTTCGCGCCGAAGATGATATCCTCGGGCATGTAGGGAGTGTAGCCCACCACATTGGTCTTGTTGTGTTCGACGGTTTCCCATTTCTGGAGTTCCGCGAGGGTGCGACGGGAGTGTTGAGATTCTGTTCACCGTGTTATTATCTTGTTTTGGGGGTCAGAAGGGAGTAAGGGCATACTGGTAGAAATTCCGCGCTTCTCACGCAAAGCATTGACACGGTCCGCACGACGCTGGACGTTCTTCTTGTTCAATTGGCGGGCCCCAAGCGAAGTCGAGCAGCTGTCGAGAGCTCGCTTGCCCATGTGCGCAAAGGCATCGCGGGCGTGGATCTCGCGCTTCAGGACGTGCGGGTCATGTTTCTCGCCAGGATGGGCGAGAATTGGGGTCGCGAGAGCAGCGAGAAGGAGCTTTGAGAAATGCATATTGCCTTATTCTGACCTTTTTGTGTTGATCTCAAGTCATTACAGAACGGATTCCTCCATTTATACCCTTCGCAGAAGTTTGACCAATCTTCGAGAAAGCAGGCCGCGTTTCCCATGACGAGTGTCCTCCTCCCATCCAAACAAGCCACTGGGGCACCCATCAACCGGTGTTTTGCCTGGTTCCGCGCTATACAAGCAATTTCTTGGCGTTCCGTTAAATTCCGCTTACTCAGCGCGGAGCGGAGCTCAGTGCACTTCCGAACGGATGCCATTTGCGAATCGGGCCGATATAATTCGTCGATGTTTTGGCAGGGCCGCGTGGCCGATAGATTGCTTAGAAGATTCTTTCTGTATAGGGGGATTTCTCCGGCCAGCCCTGTCAGTTACGGAGGCTGTATGGGTACAGGCTGCGTGGGAGTGCTTGTTTTGAGGGTAGTTTTATTGGTTGTGTATATGGGTTGCCTGGGTTGATGCTAAAATAGAACGGGTTAGGGTACGTACCGCTGATTTGAGATTTATAATCGGAGAGTCCGTTGAATGAGGCCCAGCCGGGACAATCCATGGATCATCCCGATACACATGCCATTAAAGCCATATATCACAGCCTAACTAACAACTCCTACTAAATACATACCCCTTTAGAACTACCACGATTAATACAACCGCCCATTATCCGCCTCCTTCCCCTTCGGCGTGATCCCAGACCTTCTCTTGAACACCCTACAAACGACCCTAGCCCCATCCATAACCCACCTAACCAGCGTCGTCGGATTGTAATGCTTAACCCGGAACATATAGTACAGCGCCACAGTTCCGAAGATGTTGAATCCAATATACGCCCAGCCTATGCCCCAGTTGCGCCAGCGGTCGCCGTATGCTTTGGACAATAGTCAGAACCTCGAACTTGAGGAGATGGGGAGGCAGAGGGGGAGGGGAGGGGCTTACCGATATTGCTACCGGCGAGGTACTGATCCGCATCCCGTAACTGGCAGAACTGGCAGTTTTGCGTGGCGGTTGGGTTGTATAGCTGACCGAGGCTAACATCCAGGTATGAGCTTAGGTAGTCGTTGCAGGTCATACCAGAGGGAGGATTAAACACGCTCAACTCCTCGCTCGCGCATTCAATCTTACGATTATGCAATCCCGTCGCCGTAAGTCCAGCAATAAGATAAGTCAGCGGCGAAACACGATACATGAAAATCCAAAACCCAGGCAACGCATCCGGCGACTGCATCACACCGTTAAACACCAACGTCAACATAAACATAAGCGTAGCAATGGTACCTCCCGTCTCTGCATCCGGCAGCGCCGCGATAACAAGAGAGGCGAACGTCGAAGTAAACATGTAGAACTGCACGACGAAAAGCAGCATGAGGCCTTGACGATGGCTTGCTTGGCTGGCGCCGTAGATGGGGTAGTAGTAGCATGCCCAGGCGATGATTCCTGCGAGGACTTGGTAAGGGATTTCGACGAGGATGTTGGCGATTAGGAAGGTGGCCCAGGAGTAGGCTTTTGAGGGTCTCTCACGGACTTCGTAAAGGGAGCGTTGGACGACGAATTTGGGCATGATTCTGCAACTGTTAGCCAGTTTATTGAAGATTAATGGAGGGTGACTTACTGTTGGACCAAGGTTGAGAAGATAGACGTAAGCATGAAAGCACTGAACAGAACAGACTGAAACCCTATAAGCGAGCTCTCAGGCTTGAAAAAGGTAAATCCAATGAACAGCGAGGACGCCGTGGCCAGAATAAGCTTCGCCCAAACATAGGATGGCTCGCGCCAATACTGCTGGAACACACGGTGAGTGACATGCCAGAACTGGTTAACAAAGGGCATGGCATATTCCGCCTGTTCGACGGCACCGTCATCGTTAGATTCTGAAGACCGCTCTTCATGGATTTTATCAAGCTCATCTTGAACTTCTTTGGCTTGTTGGCTATCATTCCAGACTGATGGCCAGTCTTGGTTTGATTTTCCGGAGGCACCTGCTCCGATGATTTCGAGGATGTATTCAGCGGGCTGTTTATGTTAGTAGGTATGTCAACAGGTGTAGCGTTAAAACTCACGTTCTCGGATAATCCACATTCTCTTGCCCCATTACTCTCAAAGTAATCGAGTAACGTCCTTGAGTCCTTCCCGATATCACCGAAATACACAGTCCTCCCTCCCTTTGCCAAGAAAAGCAACCTGTCAAATTCCTGGAACAACAACGCACTAGGCTGGTGAATCGTTGAAAGAACAGCCTGCCCATGGTCCGCAAGTTTTCGCAGAAACGCGCAGATGGCCCACGAACTCTGTGAGTCCAGACCACTAGTTGGCTCATCAAGAAAGATCAACAACGCAGGCTTCGCAGCGAGCTCTACTCCAATGGTCAACAGTTTCCGCTGTTCCACGTTCAAGCCCTCACCTGGACTTCCGACAATTGCATCGGCGAATTCTTGCATGCTCAGCATCTCGATTACCTCTTCAACATATTTGTATTTCTCGCTCTTCGAGACTGTCTTAGGCTGGCGAAGGAGCGCGCTGAAGCGCAGCGCTTCCCTCACAGTCGTCGTCGAAAGATGGAGATCTTGCTGCTGAACATACCCCGTCTTCCTCTGGAAACTATTATCAAGTGGCTTTCCATCGACAAGCATATCTCCGGTAACAACACCAACAGACACCCGCTTAGCCAGGACATCGAGCAAAGTAGTCTTCCCGGCACCCGAAACACCCATCAAAGCAGTGAGTGTACCAGGCTTCACCCAACCAGAGACATTGTCCAGAAGCCGGCGTTCACCACCCTTGACAGTAATATCGTAGCAGACGTTCCGCCAGGTGAAGATGCTGCTCTGCGTCGGGATTACATCTGTGGTGTCTTCTTCTGGTTTATCCTCTTCGTGAGTTTCGGGTGCTTCTGTTGGGCTTTCGCCTCCTTGGCGTTTATCAATGTTGCGTAGGTGAGGCGGGACGTGGCCGCGACGGAAAACGAGGAATTCAGCTTTGGATGTCGTTGCGGAGTTGAGTTCCGTGGCTATCAAGTAAGTGGCCATGAAGAAGATCCAGAATCCGATTAGGATCCCAAAGTTTCTCCATTCGTGTGCGTATGTGTAGGTGTACTGAGACTCGATGTATGCATCACCAGACACAGTCCTTTCTCCGGGAACAGCGCCCCGGACAGAGCATATGAAGGAGTCACCACTCAGGTTATCATACCCAGGGATGAACTCGGAGCACGTAAACCTTCGCCCATGAAATTCGTTTGCAACCAATGCTTCGAACGTGTAGAAGACTGGGTTAATGAAGCGGATCCAGCTAAACCAAGGCACAGAACTCATTTGCGGGACGGGAATGACGAAGCCCGTGTATATCACGATGGCTAGCACTATGACACCGGCCATGGACATCGCTTGGGCGAGAGTTTTGGTCGATGCAGCGAGTGTTCGGAATATTCCAGACATTGCGAGCGTGCTGATAAATGTGAATAGGAAGAAGATGAAGAATTGAGATGGTTCGTATCGCTGTACTTGGTTAGTTATTGCTGCTTCAAAACTGCCACATACTATACTTACCAATCCAGCTAGAAAGTAAAAAATAATGTTGAATACTACCGCAGAGACGAACTTGACGGGAACATCGGATACGATACCACCAAATGCTTCAGCAAATGGATGCACGAAAGCATATGATGCCTGCTTCTCGATGATCGACCGTTGATCGTAAAGTGAGTTAATCTCGGTGATACTGATGAGGGCGTTCATCCTGGATGGTTGTTAATATTGACATTGAAGGACTTGGTCTTCCGTAGCGACCTACAGTACAGCAAAGAACAGAGCTGCTCCTTTACTCTGAAAACCGGCTGAAGCGTTTGGAGTCCTGATATCATGAGTGTATATCTCTTAAAATGGTTGATGAGTAGTTACCCGTAGTATATCGAACCGATGATCAATGACATGACAATACGACCAATAAGCGTCGTCAACGTCGAGGGCTTGTCGTTCCAGATCCTGAACCCCCCGTCAGCATAACTTGGATCCACAGACAGCAGAAAAAGTCAAGCATACCTTTGATAAGCCCGAATCGTACAAAGCCTAACCTGCATCGGAATCGAAATAACATACGGACTCTTCGGCCTCACATGCTTCGCCTGCCTGAACCGCTTGACCTCCCCAAAATCCACCTCTTGCTGCCCTCCCGGTGGAAACTGCTCACGATACTCCGCAATATCCTGCTTCACAGCCTCATACTGTGGGCTCTTCTTCCAGTACTCCGCAAACTCATCAGCAGTACGCGGGACGCGGTCCTCCATGCCTTCTCGCACTTGGCGTTCCTGGGGGTTGGTGACAGCAGTTAGGAAATCACCCGCTGTTTGGCGCGGTGGACGGTACCAGCCCATTTCGGTAAAGTAATCGACTGCTCGAGCACAGGGGCCGAAGTAGATTTGTCGACCTTGGTATAAGACGGTTACTTTGTCGAAGATATCGTAGATAGCCTGCGATGCTTGGTAGATGGCGACGGCGTGGGCTGTGCCGGCTAGGCTAGCAGCAACTCGTAGGGATTTTGTAAATTCCAGAGCACTTGCGGAGTCGAGGCCTCGAGTGCTGTTGTCCCATGCACCGAGGGGGGCACCGGATACTGGATGTCGTTAACGGGTGGTTTTCAGAGGTCAATGAGTCAAACTTACACGCCATCTCAGCAATACTGTGCTTGTGTTAGTGAATGGTCGAAGCCTACTGAAGGAGAGTACATACCTAACACGCTTCCTTTCACCTCCCGATACACCTCTAATATACTCATCACCCACTGGAAAGAGTTAGCTGATACAACAACTACCATCCCAAACAGGTCAATATACCCTTGGTATTATACGTATGCGATAACCCTAAAACAGCCATCGCAACCTGCGTAATATGTTTCGAGAACTCCTTCCGGCCAATATCACGCAACCGATGCTCCGGAGTCCTTGCCGCAGCAGCAAATTCCAAAGTCTGCCCAACCGTTAAGTGAGGGAAGTGCCTGTCGACTTCTTGGTTGTAAAGAACTTCGCCCTTGAATTCCGTGTGCATCCTCTCCATTGATATGCCATTGTATTGGATCTCGGAGCTCTCCCGGAGTTTCAAGCCGTGGAGTTCACCAGATAACGTCTTGAGTAATGTCGAGCAACCGCTGCCAGGTCGTCCCAGCACAAGAAGCAACTCACCGCTCCTCAACAGACCATCAAAATCGCGTAAAATATGCTTCTCCGGCCCAGAACGAATAAAGCTAAGATACTCCTGCGGCCGGAATGGCGCCAACACCACAGATCCCACATTATTCTGATATTGCAACGCAGACCCAGACCCAGAAACGTTCAGATCTTCAAAAACAACACCCGTCGACGGCGGCCTAGGAAACCCCTCTTTATCCATGAGCTTCAGAACCATTCGCGCCCACTTGTAATGATCGAAATTCTCGCTCTTCGGATCAAGAACGGGGTCTCCGATCTCGATGCCTTCCAGCGTGTCTCTGCGATGGATGCTATTATCCATTCCACTGACTCCCGAGTCGGCCGATCCATGGCTTCTGGGAAAGTTTGATGCAACGCGAGCTAGCTCTGCTCTTGCTTCGGGACTCATATTTTGGGACAGGGTGCTGTCTTCGCGTGGGCTGGGTTGCGGCGGCGAAGATATGTCGTCTTGTCGGGTAGGACTGGGCTCTAAGGCCCAGTCGTGGTCTCTGAATCCAGCCATTGTGGCTCAAAGTAGGTAGAATGGAAGAAATAGCGACAGTACTGTTAGCTAGATCGCAAGCAGACAGAGATCAAAATCAAACACAGGAATTGACAAAGATAAACCTGTGAAACAGTCCTCTCAGAAAGAACCAACCTCAGGGACTAACTCGAGTCTGAGAAGGCCTGAGACAAATTCACTCGAAGGCTGGGTCATAGCCGTTGTAATAGTCAACCCCTCCTGTGACTTGCAACAAGTCTCACCGAAGACGAACGAGGATGCCCCGGGCAAGGCTTGTTCAAGGTGATATCAGTGGCTGGGGTGAGCCCTGTAGGACTGGTTTGAAATATATGCATCTCTAAAGAACAACTAGGAGCCAATCGATGATGATGACTGATGGCTGTAATCTGAATGGATTGGTTGGATAAGGGTTGCAACCATTTCCGCATGCGCCATTGGGGATGGTGTAACCCCAGATGGGGGAACATGTGATTTTGCTTATTCCCCTGATGTAAGCTACCATATATGTATCGATCTGTTTTTATGTCTTTGGATTATGTGGCGGGGTGTTTAAGAGTGTTTACATGTATGGTTCCATGATGGGTAGTTTGTACACTATTTTTTCACGACAAAGAAGTCGCAAGGATACAAAAGGCATAATCACACGGTAGCAGTGGTACTGTCTGTATGTACCTTTCCTTTTCTTATTTCCCCCCTTTTTCTTTTCTCTCCTTTATTTTCCCAGTAACACGGCATCGGAGAAATGAGTGCTTTGGCTATGAGCACATGGGTTGTTACTGTCATGATGCATGCCGGTGTCGGCATCAATCCTTGTCTTTGAGATTTTGGCAAAATCGTCTGCTTTCATCCTTCTTTTGAATCACGAAGCAGGCTATTTCATTGTCTTTGGAAATGAAAATTGGGGATCGGGATATCGACCCCCGGGCATTTCAGCGGGAGCAAAATTGGAGGGGTGGAAGCATATGATTCGAGTGCTCTGCACTGGTAACACCTTCCGCATAAAAGCATGTAGCAGGTATTGAGAAGAGTGCGAAAAATTTCTTGTGATCTATTTTCGCGGAGATGATCGATAGGTGTCTAAGTGCTCGTCGAGATTCGTGGAATCGCATCTCTGGGAGGATTGTATCGGGGTTTAGCAGACCCCTGCTTCATCCACATAAGCAGAGAATAACCAGATTTGGCCCTGAGTTGCATCTTCTGTTTTGTGATGCATTGGCCACTTTCAGGAATGAGCTTTTTATTGCTCATACATTGTCTTCATAATTGCCCTGACTCTGTGCGTGGTAGGCCCAAGCGCTCAAGGTACTCTCGTAATAATATTGAAAGTCAAAGCCCCCAGCACACTTATTCGACCTGATGCGTTGAGCCTGCTCCGGATCCATGTTTTGGATCTCAAAGATCTTGCATAGGTACCCCCTGAGCAAATGAACAACAGGCCTTTGAAAGCCCTTGAATGCGCCCTCAATCCGAGAGTCGAAAAATCCCGTTGAGTTATTCCGGACTCCCGACACAGCTTAACCAAGTTCGTGGCAATATACAACTCAATGGCTCTTTGCACCCTATCCCGGTCACGGTGTGAAACCTCGGGTGCTTCGGCAATGAAAGAGCCGGATACCTGTTGGATCTTTCCGCAAAGCTGAGACATGCCACATCTGCTAAGCTTTCCTTCATAATGCGCCATATGGGGTATGACGTTCCGATCCCGCTTGGGCCAGAGGTTCCAAGAAACTGCTCTCTGCCCGGACATATGACCGATGAAATCTATGTCCCAAAGAACAACGCTTCCGACATGGTGATAGATAAGTGCGTGATTTCAAATGCCTAAATACCAGCGTGACGCTGTCTCTTGGACACGGAAGTGGATTGAAAGCCTTGGCTCTCATAGCCGATTCAGCACTTCCCTGATATTCGGGTATAGCTTGTCGCAGATAGTTCAATACAGAATAGTATGGGCATGGGGATAATTCCTTGCCGCTAATGTACCAATGCGCCGGGATGTTCATGGGTTCGCTGTACGAACATATTTGGGAATCTCCTCTGGAAAACTTGAGCCACTCGAGAAATGCCCAGTTGAACGAACATGCTCAATACCACGCTTTCGCGGATTTCCAAGGGTAAGTGGAATCGCAGGACATGGAAGGCGCACGCAATCAAGAAATAAAACCAGTAACCCTTATGTGCAATGGTAGAAGATAATGGTCAGCAAATGCTAGAGAGTTGTTCGGTTTGAGTTGGTTCAGCAATGAGAAAGTATGCAGTTTCCCAACAGAGAGCTATACAGCTCTGGCCAATCAGAAACAGCTATTTAGCCCTGCATCGGCCATACCCACTTAAAAGACAACCAGTGTAAATGAGACAAACAGTACAAACACATCATAAAGAAAAAAAAAAAGGCATCGGATATCTTCGTCGTCGCATTGTCCAAGCAAGCAAAGCAAAGCACCAACACTATTAGAGGTGCAATTCTGTCAATACTTATCGCGTGAATTAATTGATGCAACTGGCTTCGCGATATTGATTCTATCTTATTATCATCCTGAATTACAAGCTCAGCGCAACATCTTGATCTGAATTGACGGGTCTACAATATCCAACATGGCGGACGTACAAAGAACTCCCTTCGTGAAGGATCTCGCCTCGAGTGGTATGTCTTTTCCCTTTCATATCCAACAAAGTCATACTAATTGGAACGAACAGACCGCAAAGTCCGCGACAAAGCCCTCGACTCCCTAACCCTCTTCCTCCGCTCCCGAACAGACCTCTCCCTCATCGACCTGCTCAAACTCTGGAAAGGACTCTTCTTCTGTACGCTACCTTTTACCAACCTATCCAATTTGATGACCAGAATACTAACAACGACAGGCTTTTACCACTCCGACCGCCCCCTCACCCAACAAGCCCTCGCGCGCTCCCTCTCATACTCCCTCATCCCGACCCTCCCCCGCTCAACGGTGCACAGATTTCTGCGCGCGTTCTGGATTACCATTGGCCGCGAGTTCCATGCGATTGATCGGTTGCGGTTGGATAAATATATGTATTTGATTAGATGTTATGTGGGTGTTGCGTTTGAGGTTTTTGTGAAGGGCAAACAAAAACAACCAGGACAGGGAATGGATGATGGCGGAAAGAAGCGCAAGCGTGAAGAAGAGGAAGCGGCAAAGTCAAAGAATTCGAAAAAGCAAAACAAGCGGTCGAAGGGAAAGAAGAGCCAGGAAGCCGAGGAGGAACAACAATCCAACGGAGTATCCGACGGCACAACCAATGATACCCAAACTTCTACCACAACCACAGATTCAGACGCCGCCAAATGGACCGACCTAAAATCCTACCTCAGCATAATCTCCGAAGGTCCCCTCAACCCCCTAAACTTTGACCCTGACCAAGACACCTCCATCAACGAAAAGACCGATTACGTGCCCATGCCACACGGCCCCGATGGTCTGCGCTACCATCTTCTGGACCTCTGGCTCGATGAGTTGGAGAAGGTTCTTGAGTTCGAGCAGGAGGACTCCAAGGAAGGAGAGGAGGAGAAGCCGAGGAAGGTTGTTAGTGAGGTCCCTATGGATCTTATTTTGGGTCCTATTGAGACACTCCGTGTGAAGGGATTGCATAAGCCCGTGAGAACTCGGGCTGGTGAGGCGTTGGAGGATGAGAGGTTGTACGAGTGGGGGTTTAAGGAGAGGAAGGTTGTGGTTGATGAGGATGAGGAGAGTGAGGAGGAGTGGGGTGGGTTTGACTAATTTCTATCTTCTATCCAAAAGCCTTGATAGCGTTGTACATATTAGAACTGGAAATGGCGCTTAAAATACCGCATACATTATCCTAAGTACTACCTTGTATTCTAGTTTGATTACAGCAGTGCAGTGTACAGGAAGCATCAATTCAACGTCAAGCAAGCCAGTGCTAGTTCGATCTCGCGAGGGTATCATCACAAATGCGCAGACCAGAACCATGATTATAAGTATACCGTGCAAACACATTACATCTTCCCTCTACCCAGGGAATCCTGGCATTACATCTTCGGTCCCTCGGCTTCATACAAATGACCAGACTTCGACAGCACGGTGCCCAGACCCTGGTGAATTTCTACCTGGAATGCCTCGAAGGGAACCTTTTCGCCGTCCACACTGATGAAGCCTTCCTTTTCGCGGGGAACGAGGCGATACGCGACAGCCTTGCGGGTGATGACTTCTGGCATGTCGAAGAATCCGCCATTGGGCACTTCGGACATCATTTTGAGGGTTGTCATGCGAGGAACGGTTCCGTCGACGGTGACGATGTCGATCAGACCATCGCTGGGTAGCGCGGCAGGGAAGAAATTGGTGTCCTTGGACACGATAGCCATTTTACCGGCGTAGAAGTTGCCCATGGTCTCGCCTGGAATAACATCCCAATCGCTCGGAAGGTCGTCCAATACCGTGCCGTACTGCAATTCGGGCAGACCTTCCGACTGACCGGCAATCTCTTGGGGATCGCGTTTGATAGGTTCTCGCTGCGTGTATGAGAGATAGTGGTCTTTGATCGCCTTCTTGTCGTCCATAACCACCTTAATCGCCAGATCACACGGGTATACCGTCCGTTGCATGAGCCGGACAAGGAAGCCATAGGTGAAACGATGCGCGCCCATCCAGCGGATATCATCAGTTCCCAGATCACAGTCCGCCACGATCCCAAATGATTGCGACAAGAATGAAAGCGTACGAGTCGACCCCTGCGTAATCGAAACCAAGTCTATAGGCGTCATCAACCCCTTGACAATAGCCAAAGCAGCCACCGAAACACTCCCGGTCCCGCAAAGGTTCCAAGCCATCGCATTCCCCGAGCCACAAGGGATCATAGTAACAGCCACCTTCGTCAACGCCTCCTTCGCATTCGCCTTTTTCGCCAGCCCATTGAACACCTCATACGGCAACCCATCCCCAGAACAGCACACGATCGCATCATACGCGTTCACATCAATCTTCTCACAAAGTTCTGTAGCATGGCCCATGTGCGACGTCGTCTGCACATCAACCCTGCACCGTGCGGCGGCAAATATCGGCGCCGCATAGCCGTTGTACAACGCAGATGCAGAACCCTTTCCACCAAAGGGATTAATCAGGACTTTGAGCCGCTTGTAGCGTAGGGCATCACCATATGCAAGGTTGAGGAGCTTCTGGACCCACGAGTCGGCGTTCTTCTTTTCTTCATCGTTGATGGGGTATTGTAGGGCGTTGACGGTGACATCGTCTTTGGTTGCGGGTTTCGCATAGGTGATGGTTAGGCCGGCGGGAGAGAGATCAGCGTCGAGGATATTATATAGCGAGATAGCGTGGGTTTCTTTGGATTCTGCACAACATTAACAGTCAGCTTTGTCGTTCTCAAGGCTATCAGGGATAGGGTATTACTGGATTTAAGGAATCCGCAGCATCCGTCGCGATCCGACTTGCGTGAGGCCCGCTCATCTGCCACTCGTGAATACGAAAGCAAAAAAAAAAAAAAAAAATCCGATAAAGCAAAGGGAAGACATACCGACTATAACAAGAGAGTCACTTCCCAGGGTGAGAGACACCGACTTGCCAACAATCAGGGTCGAGTCGTGCTCCAGCAGCCGAGACCCTGTATCCGGCGATTCCGTGCGCGCAGTAGCAGTAGCAGTAGCAGTAGAAGGGGACATTATGCAATGGTATTCAGTAGATTCATAAGGATTAAGAATGAAGCTGTGCGAGAGCGACGGATAAAGAGCAAAAGTTCATAAGAATGGGTAGAGATTAGGATGGAGATAGAAGTACTCCGGAGTTGGAGGAAGGATCGGTCTTGGTTGCCGATTAAACGGTCCGCTTGACCAACTTTTCAGGCACGAAATTCCCCGGGGCAGTTGGAGTACTTGGCGCGTATCAATTGTGTCTGAGATTGAGTCTCGTTTTTCAGTTATATTCAGGCACAATTCCGAGTTCAGCTGAGCCGAAAACGGAGCATACTTTCTACTTTCGGAAGTCTATATAGCTCTCATTGAAGGCCAGTAATAAATAATATAGTAGAATAAGATAGTAAATACGACAGCATACAAGAATATCATGGGTAACTAATAACGCTTCAACAGTCAATAATCTATTCATGCCGCAGACGCCTTGAGTCCCTTGAGTGACCCCAAACTCAACGCCAGTCCCTGCGACCGACTTCTTATCCGAACAAACCCTGTGATTGGCCCGTCGTCTGCTTCTTTTTCGATGCTCAGGTTTGCCAGTGCGTCCTCGCCTATCCAAGTTAGTAGATGAGCGTTTTGTTAAGTAGAAAGGGAACATACCGAATACACTCCGGGCATACAGGTTGGCGCTCAAGAACCGGCAATCGCCCTTGAGGGATGCGTCCGGTGTCAAGCAGGCCATGTTGGTGCTTTCCATCAGCTGCTTGAGGAACTCGCGTAGAGTCTTCGCCTTCGAGTTGATGTTGACCTTGTTCTCCCATTCGAATTCGGTCCACATGGTCCGGAACTGCGTCTCCGTGCAGTGTGCAGGCTGAATGTAGTCCATAATGTCCGCGTGGATATCGTTGAGAATAACCACGTGGGTTTCCGTCGAACTGGGCCCATCATACACAATGTTACCGAAGATGACACCGGTGTCCGTCGACGAAACCTTGACGGTAGCCTGAACGTTCAAGAAGTCGCGCGGTCCGAGGTTGTGGGTCGCGGGCCGCTCGACAACCTTGAGGTCTCCAAGTGTTGCAAACTCCACAGACAGGTTCTGCAGGGTCTCCAGTGTTTGGTTAACCAAAAGGACATCGAGGACGATGTCAAACTGGTGGACGGTAACGTAGGCTTCCGCATAAACAGGGTCGGAGAAACCGGTCAATTGCACCACCCGGCTGAGTTTCGAGGAGACAGTCTCCACAGTAGAGTCGCCGCCGGTGGCTTTCGCCAAGTCGAGCTCAATTTCCTCAGCACCCTCAACGTCGGTCTTCTTGGTGAATTGCCGGATCGGGATCGCGTCATCAATCTGCACGGCGGTCTTTGCCTTCTCAACAGCTTCCTTGGCAGCCCGCTTCTTGTCCTCAACCTGGACCATCGCACGGAAGGCCGTCCGGGTATCCTCGAGGAAGGTGGCTTCCAACTCCTTTTTCTCGGAGAACTCGGCAAGCGAACGCACACAGGTCATGATACGATCAACAGAGTCTTCGTCGATGGGAGCCTTGACGAAATGCGACTGGCCAACACGCATAATCGAGATCATAATCAACATGGCTTCAGCGCGGAGAGCGTTAGTACGGGCCGCCTCTTCAGACACCTCGGAGTGGCGCATCACCAACTTCGTCAATGTAGACGACAGCACGGTCGCGAGGTAGTAGTCACCGTCCAAAATGAGTTGACGGAGAGGAGGCTTCTGGGCGGCTTTGACGGCCTCGAGTCTGGCAGCCGCTGCCGACTGGCTTGTAAGAGCACTTTCAGTAGCGTACGTGCCATCAGCGAGGACTTTTCTCGAACCTGTCGGAGCCGAAGGCTTGGCGCCATTGAGCTGTTCCTTCACGGCTGCAGACTCATCCGGAACCTCATCAAGCAGTCGTTGCTCCGAGGCTAGGATCGGGATCTCTCCAAGACTTGCGCGAATACGTTTCCAAGCTTCGCGAATATCTTTCTCCTCCAACGAGTACTCTCCGACAACCCACAGGACACCACGGTAGACCTTTCCGGCGCGAACCTCACTCAAAGTCGATACCAAACGATTCACAATAGAGGCCCGTAGCTTGGGGAATTTCTCTACAACTTCCTTGACGAACGAAATAACATCCACAGCAGAGTTATTGTTAAAGTCGGCAATAAAGTCCATCAGGAGATCCACAACGCTGGCGGCGATTTCCGAGAACTTGATAGCGCAGTTGTGTATCGACTGGATAAGGAGTTGGCGGTATTCGATGTTCTGCTCATATGTCTCATCAACAGTCTTGGCCAGCTCCTTCTTCAACAGCATGACAATCTCTTCGACATTCTTGCTGGAAACCATCTCCAGAGCGATACCAAGAGCCTTGCGACGAACATCGATGTCGGGACTGGAGAGCACGCGCAGGATTTCCATGGTGAGATCATCCAAGACGCCCTCGTTGCGAATGCGCAATTGGTCAACGCGGTCTAGCACGATGAGTTTGACATTGTTGTCTGCCTCCCGGATAGCGAGCTCGATCAGTTTGCCGGCAGCGGCCTTGACAGCCACGGGGTTGCTAGTGAGGGCAGTGAGAGACGTTGCGGCTTCGTAAATCACGGTGCTCGTAGATGCGTCAAGGAGATCGAAAATCAAGCGCAGATATTTAGCCTACTCCCGTTAGCAAGCCATGAACCTCTTGTGCCATCCCGCCTGCCAGGCCACCCACCTTGTTCTGCGAGTTCTGCACCGCATCCTTCCTAATAAACTCCAGCTCCACCAGTTGCAACAGTTCATCGGTGTTCGGAATGGTATCGAATGTATTTGCCAGGTATTCCAGGGCCTTTGTGTGGCTAATGGACATGAGAGCGGCGAACGCATTGCGTTTGCAGGTGCTGTCGGTCTCACCATCAAGGAAGGTCTGGATGAGGTCTGGTGCATCCGGAATGAGAGGTTCCGAGTGTTGGAAGATCGAAGCAACAGCCCAAACGGCATTCTTCCGGACGTATGCGTGACGGTGTTCCAAACACGAGCGTGCGGAGGATAAGAGCGGTTCGATGAGTTCCGGTTCTCGGAGCTTGCACAGGAATCGCAGGGTATTGCCTCGGATGTATTCGTTGGGGTGTTGCAGGTCGTTACGGATTCCGTTGCTAGACACCGACATGTTATTAATTGAACGAAACCACATGTATCAATCACACTCACCAAACTAAAATCATCTCCTGCTTCAACTTGCCATTCGAGTCCAGTTTCGGGCAGATCTCATAGTAGAAGTAGAGCAGCTTCTTCAATGGCTTGCTCCGAGACGGCATAACAAAGCGAATAATGTGCATTAAAAGTTGGGACATGGGGTCTCCGTTCAGCATGATCGTGATGATGGTTCTCATGGTCTCCATCTTGGTCTCATCATTGCCCTTCTCTAGCTGCAATTTCAGCTCCGGCAAGGAAGGCTGATCCGCAGTGTTGTCCTGATGGACCAAACTGTACGCATTTTCCAGGTACGACGCCATGGTGGTGACTGTTCGAGTGGGAAGTAGGAGGGGGAGGAGGGATCTAAGGAGACCTGCAACTTGTCAATACTCGGAACAAACATCAGGAACAGCGGGGAGGAACACTCACTTCTCTCCTAAGCTAGCGAGAGCAGAGAATAGACAGAATTAAACAGTATAAAGCAAGCTCCCCTCACCAGCCTGGAATATCATCCGCGCCAAACAATTGTATGTATGAATGAATGTACGAGAATAGAATGAATGCTGTCCACTTGCGCGGCGGAGCAACCTGGCCGGAGTGTGTGGGTGACTAAGCCGCCTGGACCAACCCTGCGATCCGCCTCCAGATTTGTTGCTTCTCTCTCCTCACGTCGTCAAAATAATAAACAAAAAGTGTCTGACGAGATGGCGCAAAACGACCCCTTTTATCTCCGCTACTAGTAAGCCCGATTTGTTGTTGAGGCCCAGGTTTCCTCAGCTGCTGACTGCCTCGCAGCTCCGGTCACTCTGGGCGGTTCGGGCATGAGTTTCTAGGTTGGTCATCTTCATTCGCGACTAGAGGGTGTTGCTAACTAGTTTCAATAGAATTCGACTTCCGCACTCTAGGCGATGGTCGCAGCGCAGGCGTCCGATACGCGAACAACTCCAACTACCGCAATGATTCCCTGATCCGCAAAGAGAGTGAGTGGAGGAACAAACATGGTCGATAGCGCAGCCGTGCTAATGGGATGGACAGTGTGCGTGAGCGCAGTTATGATCCAGGAGATCAAACGTATCATCAAAGACAGCGACATCCTAAAGTATGCGTCCTGCGATACCCCTCGATTCTCCGTCACGCGCTAATCCGTCGTCCCCAACAGGGAAGATGATTCGAAATGGCCGCAGAAGAACAAGGATGGCCGACAAGAATTGGAGATTCGATTGGGCAACGAACACATTTCTTTCGAGGTATTTCACCAGTGGACAGGTTCGCACTTTTGGCTTGTTTGACGGCTTCTGACAATGGTAGACCGCGAAAATCGGCTCGTTAGTAGATGTGACGGAATCGGCAGATCCGGAGGGACTGCGTGTGTTCTACTACCTCGTCCAGGATCTCAAGGCTCTCGTCTTCTCCCTCATCTCTCTTCACTTCAAAGTAAGAATCAATCTATGGTCTAGTCTGGTTATGAGGGCTGTTCTAATCAATCTTCCCATGCAGATCAAGCCTATCTAAATCGAACAATATCATGAAAGCGATTTTGAATTCTACGAAGGAGCATCGGGCGTTTTGTATTGAAGTGACCGGGTATCAGAAACAGCAATGACACAATCTGTTTGACATCTTTAATGCAAAAATAAAATAAAGGCCATTGCTATTCGCATGAACTATGTTTACTGTTACCATAGGAAAAACTTCCTCTAATCGTACTGAATATATTTTGAACGAAAAACCCACTACGCCTTTCAATCTTCCAGGGACTTAATGTCAAGACTTATTTAATATTGTCCGGCAGAGTTGGAATTCACACTTGATCAAAACCGTCAATATATGTACATGAATGCTTGTTCTCCAGGGGATTATTGTTTCTAATACAAAGGCCTTTCTACATCATCCGTGACAGCCATCTGCTGCCGTTTACAGGTTCTGGCTTATCGGCCATGTCTTAGAACAAAGCTGATGCTATAGTGCCCCATTGTCAGCCTTGCCGCCTGGAACGGCTTATTGACTATATATTTACCCTGCATCTTTTTACTAAGGAGCTGTTTCAATCTCTCTACTAGCTTTAGTGAAAGGGATAATCATCTAACTAGAATACAGAAATCGTTGCAGTATAGCCGAGGTCCTTGGGCTATACATACTCACCTGAAGGTGTGAACCCGCTATGGAAAACACTCCCAGAAAATGGCTAACTCGAAAAGACAATGTCACCCGCCGTGGACTCCCCCCTCGGTATCCAGATCCCAAAATACATATTTGGCCTGCCTCGCCCCCAACCATCAGTCCGTCGCAGTACCGTTGACGGTATTCGCTCTGGGCACCATAAAAAGCTCTGGACGACAGCTCGAATTACGCGTGGAGGAGATTGAGAAGGCGCTGGATCTTGCGTTAGAACCATCTGATTTGGTCATTATCCTACAGCGACCAGCAAACAACCATAACTATGCTGTCTCTTTTGAGCAATTTGTTCAAGACTGCTTGGCATGAAAGGCCGTCGATGAGCTTATTCGATTATCAACAAACGGAGCATGAAGCATACACACCGTGTCTGTCCTCGACGCATTGATGTTCAAGCCAAGATGAAGAAATAAAATTTCAGACGAGAGGTGCCATCAGCTCTAGAAGAGGTCCTTCGCTCGAAGAAGCCAAGTGTGATACTGCAATGTCATAAAGAATACTACGAAGATCCCTGGATGCAGAATCTCAGCCTCCCTTACAAAGATTACAGGCTGCCCTGAAAAACCATTACACATGACGACGAGACGAAGACCACTGTTTTCCAATCCTTTCACCCATCTGTTGCCGTCAATTACGACCGACCCCGTCCTGAATACAGAACATTATTATTATTTAATCAAGTTTATTGTCCATACCGAGCCCTAGAGCTATGATAGATTTACAGAACATTACTATTGTGCCATTTTGCCCGTGCATTTTCGCACATATTGGGCACTTCGTTTAAGATTCCTAGGTCTATCAGGAGTAAATGTACCTCGTAGTTGTGAGATTCTCTCCTGCTTTTTTGTTCAAGTAGATGCAGAACTAACAGCGTTAATTCCAGGCTTGAATACAATTCTAGGGAATTTGCAGCGGCATGTTATGAACTATCGAAGGCGTTAAATCCTAATATCAGTTCAGAGACTGTATACCAAGGATATTATTTGGGGCTTGCAGATATCACCGGGTATGAACAAAAAAATGTGATAGAAACACGTGTGGCAGCATATACGAGCACTTGGTACCTTTATCTGAATTCTCTCAGTGACTAGAGGTGTTCAAGGTATCCAGAGCTATATATACATATGGCAAGAAAGATTCATAGGCCATCCCCTGTATGCACAGGTAATCGATTTGTTATTTAAAAGGGCCAATGAGCAAGTGTCCTGGTGCGAACCAAGACAGAGAAGCTTGAGACAGCCACAATTGGGGTGGAACCAGCCTTCTCGAAAATGCAACTAAACGATACGGATACGCAGCATGACACTTGATCAACCTACTGAAAACCAACGAGACTCAGTCACCGACAGGCCAATGCCTGGACAAAAATGATACCGGTAACATCGAGGAGTGACAACAAGAGGAGGGAATTGGCTGGAAATACCTGCATGAAAGGATCCAATATGCTGAGGAGCAGTGTCTGATGTTACGGAACTTGACAGATTCCTTTCTTTTCGACCTCAGCTGCTCACTGGGATTTGCCATTTGGTATTCTGGCTAAAAGATCAGATTCAAATTCTTAGATATGACGAATTCAAAGAGGAGCACCCCGAGGAAATGGTAGGGGAGGTGGAGGATTTTGTCAAGGCCAGCGATGAAGAAATTGGTGGAAGAATAAATATCTGTACACGATCTTACTCTGAGCAGTCTGTCCAAGATGCACTTCGATATTAAACAGTTCAAATTGAATTACACCCAGACCTAAGTCACGATGCTAGTCGCGGGCGCGATGCAGCTCAGCGTGATTTGGGATTCCTACTCGCCAATGCCTAGCAGCATTCGGACATGATTCTGCATTTGATTGGTGAACTTGGTCACTCAGCGGAGAATGATAGTTGATAATGGCTCCGAGAAGCGCGGCAAAGCTGTCGTTGTATACCTTTGTACTTTTGCTACCGGCCCAGGTGCCCTCTGCCCGCAACTGCGGGCATGAATCACACCATCTCTTTGTTCGGCTCGGTTGGATGAGGCCTGTATCTAAGGGACTACACCGTCTAGATGTCGAGTTACACCCATAGACCTTAGCCCATGTGTGTGGCTATTTATTAATGAAGCCCCAGAAGGAGCTAGATAGTATAGAACAGTGGGGGGTTTTACTCCAAGACGCTCTATCCTGTAAAAGCAAGAGAAGAGGGCAGAGAATGGTCTGAGAGACGACAAACGTAAGATTAAACCCAAATTATGGATTCTTTGCGCCGGATATTTACACAGAAGTATGAACGGAGCTCCGGGAAGGACGCCGAACCCGGGATCAGTGGAGGCATCGATACATGGGCCAGATACAGGGTATAAGATATTCAATACATATGCCTAACTAGGCATTTGCGGCACCAATACATAGTAAACAAGCCTGTTGATCCTTGCGAGAGCTCTTGATGGCCAATATTTGTTGGCTTAAGGCAATCTGCGCCTGGTATGAGCCCGGGGACGCGCGGCGCCACTTCGTGGCAGCGCAACAAAGCCAGCAGGAAGTGTTGGTTTCAGGTTATAACGTGTGTCTAAACCCCTCCTCTCCCTCTCACCCTCATATTGCTTCCCTTATAGTCTTGTCACTTGTCTTATTTTAGATAGTGTAAATAGTTATCACACCATGGCGGCTAAGCAAATGTACTCTCACGCCTGTTAACGCTTGTCTGATTAACGCGCTGACCATTGGATTTATAGTGACGTTGATGTCTTAGTTATTGGCTCTGGTCCGACTGGCCTGGGAGCCGCCAAGCGCCTGCAGCAGTTGGTATGTCAAATCTTAGGGTTATACTATGACTGCTGACCAAGCCGCTTTCCGTTCTCCAGAACAGTGCGTCGTGGTTGATTATCGATTCGAACGAAAAGCCTGGTGGTTTAGCTTCGACCGACATTATCCCGGAGGGCTTTCTCTTCGACGTAGGAGGCCATGTCATCTTTCCCACTACAAGTATTTCGATGATTGTCTCGGGGAAGCCCTCCCCAGGGACGAAGACTGGTATGAACACCAGCGTGTTTTCTACGTGCCCTACCCTTTCCAGAACAACATTTCCGTGCTTGATAAGGAAGATCAGGTCAAATCGATCAGCAGTCTGATTGATGCGGCCATAGATGCTCGTGCTCGTGTTGCGACAGATAAACCTGATAACTTTGATGAGTAGAACCGTCGCAATGTTGGGGAGCATTTGAATGAGATCTTCATGCGGCCATACAACTTCAAGGTCTGGGCAGTTTCTCCCAGCAAGATGAATGCCACCTGGGTTGGAGAACGTGTTGCTGCGCCTAACCTGAAGACATTGACGAACAATGTTATTCTTAACAAAGTTGCGGGCAACTGGGGTCCTAATGCCACTTTCAAATTTCCTGCCCGGGATGGCACTGGAGGTATTTGGACGGCAGTTGCCAACACCATTTCTAATGATAAAACTCGCTTTGGAGACCATGGCAAGGTGATCAAGGTTGATGCCGATGCCAAGAATGTCTATCTTGCAGAAGGTTAGTTTAATCTATCAATTGGTTATAGCAAGTAGACTAACAAGAACGCTCCCTAGGGACCGTTGTCCATTATGGCTCGCTCATCTCTACAATGGCTGTAGACTACCTGGCCGAATCCATGGGCGATACTCAATTGCAGCAGTTGTGCAAGCCACTTTTATTCTTATACAAATGTGACTGATATCGGCGTTCGTGGTGAACGTCCCGAGCGTATTGGAGTTAAGTGCTGGGTACGTGCCTCTCAACTATATAAATGACTTCTCTGACGACGTATAGCTCTACTTCCCCGAGGACAACACACCTTTCTACCGCGCGACCATCTTCTCAAAATATTCTCCCTACAACCAGCCCGACAATTTAGCTAAGCTGCCGACCCTGCAACTCGCTAATGGAGAAAAGCCTGCCTCCACTGATGAATCGGGTCCCTACTGGTCCGTTATGTTGGAGGTCTCAGAATCCTCGCATAAGGCCATCAACCAGGATACTTTGCTGGCCGATAGCATCCAGGGCCTCATTAGCACAGAGTTACTCAAGCCCGAGGACAAGATTGTCAGCACATATGTCTGCCGTTTTGACCATGGCTATCCCACACCTAGCTTGGAACGTAATGGCGCTCTGACTGAGATCCTTCCTTACCTACAAGACAAGGATATTCTTTCCCGTGGCCGTTTTGGTTCGTGGAAGTATGAAGTCGGGAACCAGGGCCATAGGTCAGTATCCCCATATTTGTTTCTGGGGAAGTTCGATCACATGCTAACTTTTAATAGTTTTATGCTGGGCGTCGAAGCTGTCGATCACGTTGTCTCTGGTGCTGTTGAATTAACTTGAAATTATCCCGACTTTGTTAACACTCGTCGCAATACTGAGCGTCGACTGAAGAGCGTGACGACTGTCATCCGGTAATACAACGAGGATGGGGTTCATCATGAGCGGATGTTTTTGATCACAATCGATAGGGACATGCGTCTAAGCTACTATAATAGAATATCAACATCATATAACTAGTGATTTCTTCCCGCTAAAGCAAGTATTTATGTCTGGTATTCATTTCCGTTGAGGCCATATATCGTACGATGCGTCAAATAAATCATGTATTCTAGACTGATATCAGCATTGTGTAGAGTGTACTGTGACAAATTACTGCATAGCATTTGATCCCCTTCTTGCTACTGAAATATATATCGCGTAGAACAAAGCATAGAGATAAACCACTTTAATGCCACGAAACAGTCGTAATTCCCCTTAAATAACACAATAAACTGAACAGCATGATACCATGCAGAAGTTATTTTGAGAGGATCTGACATATTTGCAGACAATATGTACAAGTCTTCGACGTGAGCAATCAACCCCCTTGCCAAGATACTTGTTTATATTAAAATATTACAGACTTAATAGCTACCTATCAATGCCCGAGGAAAAGTTTGTACTGATTTCAATTGTGCAAGTTGCAATTTCAGTGGCTACTAGCCTTATTTCAATGGGACGTGGTAACCTCACACCATACATCAATGCACGACAGTCGCTCCCTTGAACATGTCAGCGATCATATCCGACTCACCTTGTCTAGTCAATGCTCCGGCATAAACTGATTGACAATAAGCATAAGGTGAGTAACTCGAAATGGCAGGCATTAATCGCCGCAGTGCTTTCTTTTGACATATGTAAGATGTGCTGAAGCCATCTTGCAGAGTATGGATCAGAAGTATTGACGCCAATAATTCACTCCCTAATTGGAGCAAATGAGACTCTCGTTGCATGGTACCTTTTATGATTTAGAAAAAATTATTAATGAGGTTTAAAGTATAAGATCGTTGCATTTTATGAGGGAGAATTAGGTTAGCTTTATAAGTGAATTATTTAGGTAGGGTAAATGGTTATAAGACCCGATTCACCGCAGCTCTTGATCTGCCTTGTTCAACGCAGCTTGCCTATTTCCCTCCTGATAAACTCGACAGTACAGCATCTAGGGAATTACAACATTGAACGTGATATATCCCCTCTTCCACTCTCAAATTGCTCAGCCAAAATGAGTACGCTTCTCACCGAAGAAGACTACGCCCTCCCTGTCAATTACATCAGGGTTATAATCGAAGTCCCTGAAACAGGCCACGAATCAGACACATACAGCGGAAGCCACCCATCTATCTACCTCCTCATCAGCGATTCAGGATCAGTCCGCCTGAACATGTTCAGGGCAAGACCTGACGATACCATGGGTACCTATGCCCTAGAGCGGTGCTTGTACAGATGTATCGATTATCCCCTCAAGGTCGTCGATCTGTCAGCGGCGAAGGGGATAACTGTTGGTGACGTTATAAGACTTATTGAGGGTAAGGGACGTGATAGATACGAGTTGGCGGATAGTGGGACGGGGTGTCGGTTTTGGGTGTAAGTGTTCCAAGCGCAACAGCGTGTGGGTTGGACTTTCGCTAATATGATTAATAGGAAGACTCTTATCGATGACCTGAATGCTGCAGGGTACATCGATGAAAGTGGAGCTGAAGTTGCACAGGCGCAGAATAGTTTGTACAAGAACTACCGGATGGAGGACGAGGACTCTGAGTATGAGGAGATGGTTCCTGGGGAGTTCATTTAGCAGTTAGCTTACATATGGGCTCGTAAGCAAACCATATCACTTAGTTCAACTGGCTCTCTATTATTATATTTGAATTCTAACCACATTTGAAAGATAAGAATAGCGTAAAAGTGCGGTAGTATGCCGTTTCATCTCACCATACAGGGGAGGAGACCAACGATCAATTGATGGTAAAAGCTTACGACGATACATTCATCACTCTGGCTCTCATCGTAATTAAATGACACATTCAGATTCATATCATGGGATCATGAAGCGAGTCCACAGAACTCCAGCTGAAGCAAGTCCTCAATCCTCCTCTTAAGGGTGTCAGCAAGCCTATCCGACACACAATTTCCAGTCGACCCCCTCACACTGGCTGATCACCAACAAATAATAAGTATTTTGAGGTCGCAACCGGTGGGTGAGCGCCATGTTGTTGTTTGATCTGCTGACCCAAGCTTCGCATATAAGATGCAAAGTACAACAACTCGGTGGGCCAGGAACCTGAGTACGAGGCAATTATACCTGGGAGATTCGTTTAGGAAGGACCGGATTATGAAAGCAAGATCTCGTTTCAGTGGTAGTATTCCTCTACCATTAGGCCTCAGAGCTAGAGTTTGGATCTCTCTTTTAAACTGCCCGAGTTGTTTCATGAGTTGTTGACGGTTCGGTACGATGCATAGTTAGGATAAAAAAGTCGAAAGGGTGCAGAGTCTAAGGATCAATATCGGCGGGCATGTCCATCCTCTACAGGGATTTGCTAGAGAACAATAGGAACAAACCTAGGATCCTCTGTTACTCTTTTTAGACCCATCAAAGACACTGCAAACTAGCAGCACGGGATCACTTCAGAAGATTCACACATTCTTGCTCGCCATTCGCAAGTCCCATTATGTTTGTAATGGCTTGAAGGAGGCTCTTTCCATAAGTGAAATCGCTTTTGATATATGGAACAGCCGCAGCGCCGTGAAAATACGGGGAAAACCCCGCATGTTCCCAGTCAAGTAAGCATATCGAGTCGTCTGGCATGAGCTTGATGTTCTGGCGGCAGAGGTCGAGGTGACAGAGTATAAGGGGATACGAACGCAGACCTATCGTTTTGTTCGATGAGCTCGAGGCGCTTGTTGAGTCAACGGTTCAGAAGCTCAACAGAACCGATAATATCCTCAGTCCCGTTATTTCCAAACAAGTATCCTTTAAGCATTCCATCGCCGATTGGTGGTCCTGGTGTGCCATCGCCTATGCCTGTGACCGTCACCAACTCGGAGATAATTCTTGCTAGACGTTCAGTAATATAAGCACCACGGCTGAGGCTAATCTTTTCTAAGGTCTCCCCAGGGATATATTCCATAAAGAGATATCCTTTCGCCCAGGAGGAAGTCGATGAATTCGGACTTTGAAAGTGGTGGTAGATTTGCGGGACACGGACAATATGACGATTAAGGTGTTGATAGGCGTACTTCTTGATCGCGAACTCGCCTGGCCAGACGCCATAGCCGCATTTGGCCACGACTTTGTCTGATATCCGGAGGACTTTTCCCTTTGTCAACGCCACCAATAGTAGCGTTCTGTGCTTTAGCCTACTCGCATAGGTAAATCAGTTAGGCTCCAGGTAGTCTGGATACAAGTCACCCCATGAGAAGAATAGAGACCATAGTTAAACCAATCTGTGGTGCAAGCGAACGGTGATATTGATAATGCTGACGTTTAACGTGCTTGCTTATATACCGTTGTTATGCCGAGGGAATGAGTCAGCTATGTACGACATAATTATCCCACGTCTTCCCCCCGCATGACCCGCGCTATATCCCTTTCGGTGGTTAGTCCAATTCATCCCATCTTCTTGATTCTTGCCTAATTCTTTCTATTCTGCTTTTTGACAATTTCTTCTTAATTTCTTTTTTCTCTAACCGCTTTCTCAGCTCCGATGTCCTCTCTCACCTGAAAGTAGCCTCCAATGCCGACTCCGAGTGACAACACACCACAGCTGTCTACCACTTCGCTCGTCAACGATATCTCCTCCCATACTACTTGTCCGCCGGAAATCGAACGATTGCCTTTGAGGAGCGACTCCCCCGACCCCTCAGCTATTGCTGAGCGCGATGCCGTCGTCAATCATGATCCGCCCCCGGCCCACACGACAGCGCATTCCATGTTGATGCGGTCAGAAGATGCCGCTACCACAGATCCTATGAGAGTTGATTCGGGTTCAGGTGCATCTGGTTCTGCCGTGATGAAGGCAACGACCAAGTCTGAGGAGGAATCGGGGGTGGGAAGATTGAGTCCGGCTGGGGAACCGTCATGCTCGGTACAGCAGCCTTCGTCTGTGGCTAATTCGCCGTCGGTTGCATCGCTTCTTAGCTATGAGTTCTCCAATGTTCGGGTATGTACCCGAGTAGCAGATATACCATGCATCTGGCTTACTGACTGCGGAAGCTTCTCCCTAATTATACATCCTCGTTTCTACGCCCCGGGAGTAAATTCACCGGGACTCAACAGTCGGATCGCCAGGTGTACAATGTCGACGTCGAGATTAAACATGTTGACATGGCTGAATCATATCTTTGTGGTTATCTCCGGATTCAAGGTCTGTATTCCCGCCAATTTTGCTTGGATCTATCTGACAATATGCATATAGGCCTCACGGAGGACCACCCTACCTTGACGACATTCTTTGAAGGAGAGATCATCGGTACCAAGCACACTTTCAAAACCCGCCATGAAGCATGGGGCGCGACCGAGAAAACAGACATGAACCACTGGGCGCGATTCCCGGCATGGCGACCGCTAGCCAGACAGGCAAAGAAACCCGACTTCACCTACCGTAATTTCGCACAGCGCGAGCACATCTTTATGCGGTGGAAGGAGTATTTCCTCGTCCCTGACCATCGCGTGCGAACTATATCCGGTGCTAGTTTTGAGGGCTTTTATTATATCTGTTTCAACCAGATCGAAGGGACAGTGACCGGAATCTACTTTCACGCCAAGAGTGAGAAGTACGTATGCATCCTGCCGATGTCGAGGGTTCTACTAACGCTCTTGCAGATACCAGCAACTTGAGCTCAAGCATGTCGAAGACCGTGGTTGTACCCCTGCTTTCGAATTCCGTTAATCGCCAACTCCGATTCTCTCAACGGCGAAGACACTCCGTTTACGACCTCTCTATCCCTAATTCATTTGTATAACCGACAATTAAGAAGACGCCCCTCTATACCCAAGATTGTATCCGACGTCTTATCCTTCTCATCTCTTCCGACTCCTCACCGCTTCAATTTCATGTTCATTTCTCCCCATCCGCCCTTTGTCAGCGGGGAGCAACTTTTTCTCATCTTCGTTTTGACGTTCAACTCTTTTGCTTTCATTCTATCATTGCCTTCATGCCTCATGACCTTGGTTTCTTGACTTGGCGTCTCGATTGGACAAACGGTTCGGTTTCTATTCGGTTCATATCCTTCTTGTCTAATTCTATGCTGGGACTTTTCTTTTATGGGCGCGAGTTCGGTTGCCATGATTTTAACTTATGTCTTCATTATTTTTTGTTTTCTTCGAGATGAATACATATTTTTGATTTTTGTAGCGTACGCTTCCGCTAGTTTAATGAACTTCCACACCTGGGTATCTCTCTTGATTGAAAGTTCTCACTTCACCACGCAAGCAGTCAGTTCGGTGAAAGGTCAGTGATAGCCCGTTCCCTACACACCAAAGCCTCATCAATAAACACCCTTCTTAGCCCATCCCCATCCTACCCCTATCCCTACAGACCACTTTCGTGGCCCTTAATCTCTCTTCAAATGCCCCATTTATCCCGCTCATAACCTCTCCACCTCGGCCCCGACCCAAAGTCCTCATTGTACGTACGACCATACCGGACATTCTCCCGCAGCCGGTTCCCAACATAAATAAATCGCAGACACGTAACCTTGTTAAAGGTCTGCAGGGGGCGTCATCTTTTTCCAGGGCAAAAAGGAACACGCAGACTGCGCGGTGAGATCTATCCAGGGGATGAATGTCGAGATTCTGGTCTAGTGGTGGTTCATAACTTATATCTGTAGCTTGAGTGATCTGAGTGATGAAGGCATTCTCATTTACCCAAAGCTTCCTTTGCTCAATGGTCTACTAAACAGTCATTATTCCCTACACTCCAACGTACCCTTAGCCTTTACCCCCTCAAAGCATTCTACTTGTATTCTCATTATTTCCTCGACCCACGTAAAGATTCTATGATAAGATCGTATTATCATCTCAACCATGTGGCTGTGTATATATTCTCTCGCGGTATGAAGTGGTCGAAATCGGCGAGTTTTGGTGACCAGCGGCAGCGGCGACTTTGGAAAATCCTGTATGTCGAGTATGAACACTGGAAGCATGTTAAAGGCATATTATAAAGCTAGGCCAAATCCATTTGGCAACGGGCCTCTATTCTATACCAAACCTGACTCCGGCCTAGCCATACAAACCTCCATCATGAGATTTCTTTGCTTACACGGAATGGGAACAAATTCTCAAGTCTACGAAGCTCAGCTAGCCCCCATTCGCCATCACTTAGACCCTACCTATGAATTCGAGTTTGTTGATGGCCTGGTTGAATGCGGTCCAGCGACTGGTGTCCCTTCCTTATTCCCCGGCCCCTTCTACTGTTACTACAACAAACCCACCGCCGAGAACCTCCAAGCCGCATACGACCTGGTTCTAGAGATCATCGAAGAAGAAGGTCCCTTTGAGGGGATCTTCGGCTTCTCACAAGGTGGCGCTCTGGTAGCCTCGCTGTTGCTGCACCATCGCAAAACAAACCCCCATGCCTCTGAGCTGTTCAACTTTGCCGTGTTCACCTGCGCCAGTCTGCCCTTTGATCTGCAGACTGCGACCCAGGTGGACGAATACGACACCGTCATCAATCCCCAGACGGGCGAGGTCGATGTTCGGGACTGGGTCGAGGGTGATGTTGTCAAACCAACCGAAATCAACGGGTTCATTACGGCCAGTGAGCCGGGCGATGTGGTTCTGCGTCGGTATCATCCGGCTCGGGAATTGGCTAGAATCCAAATTCCTACTGTGCATATTATGGGTGCGTTGGATCCGTTCTTGCCTCAGTCGAAAGTGACGGTTGGGCTTTGCAGTCAGCATTCAACAATCATTCATGATCAGGGGCATAATCTTCCCCGGGATGCGAGATTTACCTTGAAGGCTGCTACGGCCATACAACGGGCGATTTCTACAGCCATGTTTCAACATTGATATTTTGATTTTGATTATCTCTTTTCTTTTGATTTTTCTGTTCAATTTATGGTATATGTTCTTGTTAAATACATGTCATAAAGCGTGAATCGTGAACGCTATGCTACTTTCTTCCACTCTTCCATGAACACCTGAAGCTCTTTATGTGTATCCTCCAGTTTCCGACACACTTCCCTCTCATTATTTGTTTCCGAACATCCCCAGCCAAAAATACACTCCAAAAGACCGAGGTGAAAATCCATCGTGATGCCGTCGGATAAACACTGCAGTCGCGTATGAGTATCAGCGGGCTGCTTCTCCAAGAGCGGCGATGATCGAGGTGTAGTGGTGATCGGAGGAGATGGTAGCGAAGACGAGGGTAGCTGCATGAGCCCCATTGACGGACGGAGAGTGCCATCCAAAACTCGCCGGTAAACCTCCACTACAGTGCTGATCATCGAGATAATAAGGAGAAGACAGGGAGATAACGATAAGGTAGAGTCGGATGCACTGCGTGCCGATTGCGAGAGCCAACCCACAACGTCGCAGAGGGATGAAACCGTAGAGAAGATTTGGTCGATTGAGCTTCGGTCGCTGATGCCGAGTGTTTCTCTGCGACAGAAGGTATCGTGGGCTAGGTGCAGGGTGAAGAGGAGCTGGGAGAGTTGCCCATATACCGTAACCAGACTTTCCCCCTTGCACTCAGGGCGATCTTCTATGTATGATTGTTGTGGTTGCTGTTCAGGGACAAGTGCCGGTGATGTTGTTGCCCGAGGTACACTGAGGTTTTTGTTCGGGGAAAGAAAAGCCAAGTCCCGTTGCGATATTTCGCTCTCAGCTATCTGGGAAGGACTTTTACATAGAGAGTCGACTTCCTCGGGCGAGAAAAAGGGGAATTCATTGTCGAACGGAATCAACGGTTCTGTTAGTCTGCGGATAAATCAGTCTGCTGAATCGAGGACATCAATCTTATATCAACGGGTGAGGATGTTACATACGACATTGGGAACGGTTCCAATGTACTGTCCCAGGTAGAATGCATGTACGAGGACTCATTTGTGAGGGTAGTTTCATCAGGCAGACTTGCATGATTAAACCCTTCCGCTCCACCCAGCACTATACTCGGTACAGGGGTGGTATATTCAGGGACAGGGTCGAAGACTGTTGGCATGTGGCTTCCTGCATTATGATCCCCATCTGTCTTTGTAAGGCTCGGTGTCCTCGTTCGGTTACGTTTAGAACGAGATGGTCGCACTCTAGGGCGGCCAATTCGACTGCGAGGACTGAAGGTGCAGACCTGACCACTGGCTCGACAGTTAGTGCAGGGACCGCCACCATCGGATGGGCAGCGAGTCTTCCGACGATGACAGTTATCGCATGCTTCACGTAGAACGGTCTCCATGGTTGTATAGATAAAGATGACGGGTGGAGTATGGTTAGAGGTTGACCGAGGAGGGGATCGGTGACATACATAAGTTGTATAAAAGCATCTAAACCTGACTATGAAGGCTCGGTATTAACATGCTCATCAATAATGCCAAAAGGAAGAAAAGGGAGAAATACTAGATAAGCATTTACACAGCCATAGAATGCCTTACTCCTTGTGAAGCTTACTTGCACTTAAGCAATGCCCGGTCATGGGGCGACGCATAACAACCAGTCGCTGAAGATGTTAGACCAACAAGCCCCATACAGCAGGATCTTAATTATGTTTCATATCTGTCCTAGCGTCTGCAAGTCATTTTACTTCCATCCCCAGCAATATCATACTACTTTGTAGAAGCTGAGGTGAGAGGTGAGATTTCTCCATCGCCGCATCCGTTCTGGGGCGACGGATTAAAGCCGCCGATAAACCCTCACATGGTAGCATTGACGGTGTATACATAAGGCTTTCTTTTTTTAGATCTATGACAGTCGGTGATGTACACGTATTTCGATATTTGCGAGCCCTATCTGTTGAGTTATCATTATGGCAGTGCGCCGTGTAAATGTCAAAACCTTTACACCTCCAAGCTATCTAGTATTCCACCGTGCATTTCTCTCAGTTTTTGAATAAGTTACCTGTTCAAAATGGGCTCTACTGATCCAGAAGCCCTTCAAAGTTTAGATAAAGTGAATCCCCAGGGCAGCAATGCAGAAAGTACCAGGAAAATGCCTGTTGCCCGCCTGACGCATCTCAGCGGATGGAAACTATGGATCACGATATTCTGGTATGTAATTCATTAATTGATTCATATAAAAAAAAAAAAAAAATTAGCATTGTCTAATGAGATAGTCTCTGTCTCGGGCTACTTTTGTCTGCCCTCGAGACTAGTATCATTGCTACGTCGCTTGTCTCGATCACGTCGAGTATGGGAAACTATGAAAAGGGAAATTGGGTGGTAACTTCCTATCTGATCACTTATACAGGAAAGAATGCTTTCTCTTCAGTCATACTTTGGTAGTCCTGCTAACATCTTCCAGCCTTCTTGGTTATCTTTGCTCGAATGAGTGACTTGTTTGGCCGGAAAACGACCTTGGTTTCTGCGCTAAGTTTGTTCACAACCTTTTCCCTCGCCTGTGGACTGGCGCATTCAATGGAGATGCTGTACGTATCCCTGTCCCTTTCTAAACTTAGAATTCAGAGCAGCTCATTCCGTTATCTTTCCGATCAGTATCATTTTCCGCGCTTTCCAGGGCATCGGCGGTGCAGGACTATACAGTCTTGCTATTTCCGTGATCGCAGAAGTGACTCCAATACAGCATGCTGGGCTAGCAGTTGGAATGATGAGTTCTGTCTTTGCGGCGGCTAGCTTATTGGGTCCCATCCTGGGGGGTGCTATCACCAGCCATACCACCTGGAGATGGGTATTTTACCTCAATCTCCCTCCGGGAGTCATTATCACCATCCTTGTCATAGCCATATTTCCTCGCAATGCAGAACCGCTGCCAACAACGTGGGCAACCATCCAGGGCATTGATTTTATCGGGATTGCCACCTCTCTGGCCGGATCAGTTCTGCTAATCTTTGCACTTGAATCGGGAGGAACTTTCTACGCGTGGGACAGTGGCACCATTGTGGCATGTTTTATTGTCGCGGCACTCTGCTTTATTGGATTTGGTACTTGGCAATGGTTTCTCTGTCGCTCATCCCTTAACCGAAGGATCCTTCCCCTGTTTCCTACTAATCTCGTCACTCAACGATTTTCAGGACTTGCGATTCTGTACGTAGACCGTGTCTATTGATTTGAGCACATGGCAATAGCTGACGCAGCAGCAGGACGGCCTTCCTAACCGGATTTCCCTTCATGATGACCCTCATTTTTCTTCCGCAGCGACTGCAGTTACAGAATGGGCTCAGTCCGGTCGACGCCGGCGTAGACATGTTGGCCCTTCTATTGCTATCAGCCTTTGGCTCCTTCCTTGCTGGCATGCTCATCAGTAAATTCGGAATTGGCTGGCATGTCCTGGTCGCATCACTCTTTTTGCAGATCATTGGGCTCAGTTTGATGACAACGCTCCCTGTTACATCTGGCCCAGTCCCGTCGGCGCAGTTTGGCTACCAGGTGATTCTGGGATTGGGTTTTGGCCTGGCTCTGAGTAGCCTGGCTATGACTGCCCGTGTCGGTATGAAAGAGCAAGACATCAGTCAGTCAATCATCCCGGGAAAATGTTTTTCGAGTCAATGTTGAACCCACTAACTGACTGTGCTAGGTATCTGTATGGGCTCTATCACACAAGTTCGCGTCCTGGGAGGCGTAATCGGCATCGCCCTCGGACAAGCGATCACCACATCACATTTAAAGTCCGAACTACTCCCTATAATCGGAGCCAGCAAACTGACCAAGCTACTGGGCTCCACCGAGGCCGTCAAGGCGTTCCCAGCGGCAGAAGCAGCGCTAGTGAAAGAATGCTACGGACGGGCCTTTGCCCTACAAGATAAAATCATGCTTGCATTCACCGCGGTTAGCGTGCTGGCTATGATGGGAGCCTATGTCAAGGACACCCGGTCAGTCAAGGACCAAGCCACGCAACAATCGCACTCGTCAACGATGGAGAGTGCAATTATCAGCTCGAGCCCTCCGCGGATCGAGATGAGTTTGGGAAATTCTACCGAAGCCAGTCTGTCGCAGGAAGTTGAAAAGGCTACGATAGGGACGTTCTTTTGGGGCAAAAGGCTGAGCCAGGCGAGTACTCCGAGGGAGCCTCAGACGGCCTCGTCGATGTGGAGTACGATCTTTAGTCCTAGTGGACCACAGATCGGGATGGCTTCTGGAAATTATACGGAAGACAGTTTGACATCACAATTCGAGCAGGCGACGAGGCATTTTTTATGATTTTATTCCATTGTACATACCAAATGTTCATTCTTAATTCAATAATTTGTTCATTGCATTCTACTCTTATCCATGTCTCTTAGTGAAATGACTGAACTCGCGATTTTTGCATATCTCTAAATATAGTACCCCTTCACAATAAACATTTCTATACTATGTCATAGCCCCGGACTCTACTCGTATATGAGACATGGCCGTAGAAGGAACTTTTAATATAACAAGATGCAGGAAAAGTGATGACCTATTAAGAAGTGAAACCAATTTTCAACATACGCACTAATGCTTGATCCTATCGGCGACTTTTGAACACTCATGTAAATTCCGTCCTTCACCCCACCTTTGAGGCTGTTCGGTGTTAGCTAGCTGTTCTCTGCAAATCATAAATCTCGTCTGCTCGTGCTCCTAAACCGCCAAAGCCTCCGCCCAACACCGGTGCCGATCATTAGGCGTTTGGCATTCGAATCCTTTGAAGAGGGCAGCGTTCGTACTTTGCCATTTTCTTTCCATAGCCTCGTCTGCTTATACTGCACATATTCCATTGTAATGTCATTTAAAACTTCACTGGGTCCTGAATATGACTATTGTCGACCATATTTCCTTCGCCTCTTCAACCAGCCCCTCACTCCCCACTTTATCTCATTCTTTTGCCTGACTGATTACAATGTCCTCGCCGCCGGGGCTTCCCCCGTACATTGTCATCTTCGGTCCCAATGCTAACTGCACGCTGGAGATTTGTCCGATTCAGTATTCCCTTTACGGGTATCGGCCCAGCCTGGCCGCCAATGGTAGCTTTATTGGCCTATTTGGTTTGGCTGGGTTGGTGCACATCTGGCTGGGGATCCAATTAAAGACATGGTTCTTCATGGGTGCCATGTCTATCGGCTGTGTGAGTGCGCTCCTCGGATATGTCGGTCGAGTGATGATGTATTATAACCCGTTCAACTTTAATGCTTTTATGCTCCAAATCAGTATGTTCCTACTCATAACTATTCAGGTAGAGGAGAGGAGTTTTTAATTATGGATAGTCCTCGTCACAACCACTCCGATCTATTTCTGTGCCGCGATATACGTGACCCTCGCTTTAACCATTAATGAATTTTCCCCAAGTCTGGCGCGCTTCCCACCAAAATATATCTACTGGGTCTTCATCAACTGTGACGTGGTCTCTCTCGTTCTACAAGCCGCCGGGGGTGGCTTATCCACCTCGACCAGCGGGAAGAGCCAAATTGGCGTAGACCTTGCCCTGGCCGGTCTTGCCTTCCAGGTATTCACTATCTGCATCTTCTGTGCCTTGCTGGGCGACTACTTGAATCGGTATTACCGATCGGGTCTCCTGGTAGCCAACCCTCTGCACAACCGGTTCTTGATCTTCTTCGCCTTTCTCGTTATTACCATCCTGATGATCACCATTCGATGTGTCTACCGCTTGGCCGAGTTACATGCCGGGTATAGCGGGGGCTTGATTCGAGATGAGATGCTGTTCATCTGGTTTGAGGGATTGTAAGTAGCGAGCCGATCCTCAAATGTATCGATGAGCTACTACTGATACAGTCAGCTTGATCCTTGCATCGGTTTACTCGATGATGCTGGGCCATCCGGGTCTGGTGTTCCAGAGACGGAAGAAGGAAGAGGCTGAGCCGCCGCGTCCTCAGGGTTCTGAGTTGTGATGTTTACGATGACGTTTTTGATTTTCATAGCGGGAGATTATGTTCATGATAGATAAATAGAATGCCAAGACCACGAGTTAAGATAAGCTTAAATTCCCGCGATTTAGTAACGTTTAGCACACGTGCGCCTAGCAAAGCCAAGAAATACATCTATATCGTGTACTAAAAGTCTCCCCGTCAATACTTTAATTTATCACTATATACTCACAATTGCAAACCTCCTTTCCATGAGAAACACGTCGATTCAAAATACTAACTACTTCTCATCTTCCCAGGTCAAGATCTTACATCTAACCCCCTTGCTTCCAACCTTTGGCAATGGCAGAAAAGCATCCACCGCACACTCTATATCACTCTTATCCGTCTCATACAACTCAAGATACCCAAGGTCCCCAGGCATCCTAACCTCCGATGAGCCATATGATGAAAAAAGCCTCCCGAGCAGAAGATACAGCTCCGCGAGGGCCAGATGCTTTCCCAGACAGGCGCGCGATCCTTTGGAAAATGCGACTTGGTATCTGATCAACCCTGGATCCTCGATCCACCGCTCTGGCCGGAACGCAGATGCAGACGGGAAGATGCGCTCGTCATACAACAGCAGTTGCTGGCTCATCGAAACCGGGGTTGAGGGTGGGATTTTCCACTCTCCATCGTCGCTCTTTGCCGGGTCCTTCACGGTGAGAACCTCATCTGGAGCTACTCGGGAGAGGCGAGTCGATACGCCGACCGATAGTCTCAATGCTTCCTGGATTACGGCAGTGAAGTACGGTAATTGTTCCAGTATAGGCAGGATTGTCTCGCCGCAGTCGTCCGAATTGGGACTTAAGGCATTTGCTAGCTCGGTTTTCAGTTTCTCGAGGCTGCTGGGGTTGTCTAAGAGGTGGAATACGGCGTGTGTAAGCGACCAGGACGTAGTGATCGTCGCTGCGCCAACCAGCGAGCCTGCATCAGAAGCCAGCCGGTTAAACGACTTCTCATGCTCGGGAATTTTGCTGTCTAGGATCCTGTGGAATACGGTGGGTGTCTTGTTGGCGAGACTGGCCTCGTCCAGGACGGACCTGACCTGCATGGCAATGTCCTGCCCAGCGCATTAGATTTGATACTTGATAGTGGAGAGAAGTTTTTCTTTACCTTGTGCATCGCAAAAAAAGACGACATGGAAGGGTTAAATTTAAGCGTCATGTGAGGAGGGATTGTTCGAACCACTTTGAGCAGCCAAGGGAACTGTCGTGTTAGGAAGAGCTGTTTGCCACCATTGATGCAAGCCGTGTGGAAGCCGTCATCAAAATCGGGAGCCTCGACTTTACGTCCAGGACGACGAAACGCATACTCGGTAATCACATCTGTGTTTGGGGTTGTAAGTCATGAATCTTGCTAGGATCTATAGACTCCCAACGTACCAGCCGAGAATGCTCCAAACATCACGTCCAGAGACAAAACACTCCCATTCAATTTGAACTGCCTCACTCTCCTCATGACCGAATCAACTCGTCCTTGAATGAGTGGCTCTAATTTGCGTACCTGAGCCGTGGAAAAGGACGGATTTAATGCTGACCGACGGATTCTGTGTTCCTCATGCCGCTCAGTCGCGAAGGTGGAAGAATCTACACCGAACGCCCGCGCTGCCCAGTACCATTTGTGTCGAGTCCGTCCTCCGGTTGTATAGAGTTGATTGTAGAAGTCGAACTCATGGACGTGCAATTCGTGTGGGTTGATTCGGACGACAGGACCATATCTTTCATGCAGGCGAGCAATATGGAAGGTATACTGCCCGCCCAGAACGACATCGTAGTAGAACTCGTACCTAAGGGTGAATTAGTTTGTGTCCTACTAGCAAATTTTGAGCTTTGCTTCTTACCAAAAGGTGGCCGCTGCCAGTCGAGGGCCTGGAAATCTCCTTATAGGACTGAAGAAAAGTCGGTAGACGACTAGAGCGACACTATACAAGGACAGTGACAGTACAGCAGTCGCTGACAACCACCCTGGAGTGGCATATTGAAGTAGGAGCATCGTTTTTTTTTTTTTTTTTGTTTTGTTGTTAATTGAAAATATGAACTCTGATTGCGGTTGTTGCAGGTATTATATTCTTTGGGGGCCAGAAATCGAGACAGCCCCAACTCAGCCTGGTCTTACTATCTATCACCAAACCATGATTACAACCCCAAAACTCGCCGACAAAGGATTTTTTCTTAATTAACCACCGAGCCGGCGAATTCACACAAAAATAGTGACTAACAATACATGTCAGATTTCGGCAGCTGTGATGGTTGCATTCTTTGCGAAAAGCTTCCGCGGCGACATCTATTCAAGGAAGCAAGGCGTTTTCTAGCAATTGGTGTTGACTTTCTTCAACATGACATGAGGATAAATATCGAGCAAGGTCTACGGTATAACTGCCTTTGAAAATCATCAAACAACAATCTCAACATAACTGATTGCTATCCTTTGTCCACCACGAATCAAACATCATGTTTCAGTCAAACACCACTAAGCCTTCCTTCTCTGGAATCGAAGAGGACCCTGTTATGCCAATTGCTATCATTGGTTTCTCTGGCCGTTTTCCCGGCGAAGCCGAGAACCCTACGAAACTGTGGGATATGATCGCAGCGGGCAAAAGTGCCCTCTCCGACATTCCCAAAGACCGATTCAATGTGGATGCTTACTATCACCCTCACCATGAGCGGCATGGAATTCTAAATGTCCGAAAAGCACATTTTATGAAGAGGGATATCTCTGCCTTTGATGCTCCCTTCTTTACCATGTCCATCCCAGAGGCAGAAGCTATGGACCCCCAGCAACGAATGGCGCTTGAATGTACCTATGAAGCTCTCGAGAACGGTAAGCTGACCAAAAAGCCTTGCGGTATTGAAAATCTCTAATATAACATTTTTTTGTTTTTTGTAGCTGGACTTCGAATGGAGGATGTCAGCGGATCGAGCACATCGTGTTTCGTGGGATGCTTCACCAGAGATTACAGTGAGATGCTAGGTTCCGATCCAGAGGATCTTCCTCTCTACCATGGAACCGGAACTGGTTCGGCCATCATGTCAAACAGAATCTCGTGGTTTTTTGACTTTAAAGGACCCAGTATTAGTCTGGACACCGCTTGCTCATCATCCATGGCGGCTCTGCACTTGGGATGCCAGAGCTTGCGTACCGGAGAGACCACCATGGTATGTCCTCAATGGCCCCACCTATATACAGTATCTAATTTAGTGGACAGTCCATTGTTGGTGGTACAAATCTGATTCTCATGCCTGGCATCATGGGTTCGATGACCCGACTGCACTTCCTCAGCCCAGACGGAAAATGTCAGTCTTTCGACCATAAGGGCAATGGATACTCTCGTGGAGAAGGTAAGCTTTCCCATTTGACAACACGTTTCTGAGAAATGACTAAAGCCATGGGATAGGTGCTGGTTTCTGCGTGCTGAAGCCACTAGATCTGGCTTTGAAAGACGGCGATGTTATCCGTGGTGTCATCCGTAACAGCGCTGTCAGCCAGGACGGACATACTCCTGGAATTACCCTTCCTTCCGGAGAAGCACAGGAAGCGCTCATTCGGCGTGTCTACGCAGAGGCTGGTTTGAGCCTCGCCGATACACAATATGTTGAGGCCCACGGCACTGGAACACCTGCTGGAGACCCTGTTGAAGCGGGAGCTCTAGGAAGAACTTTTGGTAGCGCCCGGGGTACAGGAAACCCGCTGATTATGGGCTCTATCAAATCTAACATTGGCCACCTCGAGGGCGGCTCAGGCATGGTACAGGTTATCAAGGGTATCATGATGATTGAGAAGGGAGAAATTCCACCGTCGATCTGGTACGAGAAGCCAAACCCACGAATTCCAATGGATGAATGGAACCTGCAAGTCCCGACTCAGCTATCGCCTTGGCCGAACGCGGGTCTCCGTCGTGTTTCCATCAACTCCTTTGGGTATGGAGGCACCAACGCTCATTGCATTATCGACGACGCATATCATTATTTCCAGGCCCACCGTATCACCGGAAAGCACAATGTCCAGGCCATTGAAAGCCCCTCCCCATTCGGAACCCCCGATTCTGGAGTTGACCTCTCCAGCAACCGCTCAGATGCCATGTCATGGACCTCCGTCAGCGACTATTTCTCGAATCCCTTCGCGTCCGAAGTGCCATCGTGCCCCAAGCTGCTCTTGTGGAGCTCCAACGACCAAAGTGGCATCGAGCGAAATGCGAGGGCTTTCGCCCAGTATCTCACGGACAAGGTCTCTGGCGACTTGACCGAGAAGGAAGAAAAGAAGCTGTTTGCCAAACTTGCAATCACCCTGGCAAGCCGGCGAAGTGTTCTTCCGTGGAAATCCTTTGTGGTTGCAAGCTCGTGCAAGGAGGCAATCGCACAGCTCGAATCGCTCCCTGCCCAGCCTGTGCGGACTTCAAGCGGGCGGGCGTGCCCCAAGCTTGCATTTGTCTTCACCGGACAAGGAGCCCAGTGGTTTGCTATGGGACGCGAGCTGTACGCCCAGCCTGTCTTCAGAGCCAGCCTGGAAGCCGCGGGTAGATACCTTGTCACCCTAGGCGCTTCTTGGTCCCTGCTCAATGAGCTGTTCCGTGACGAGGAAACCTCCAAACTAGACTCCCCGGACCTTTGCCAGCCGCTGTGTACAGCCCTTCAAATCGCGTTGGTTGACCTATTCAAATCATGGGGTGTCAAGCCAACTGCTGTCATCGGCCATTCCAGCGGTGAGATTGCCGCTGCGTATGCGAAGGAGGCTATTTGTCGCGAGGATGCCTGGAAGATCGCATACTACCGAGGCCACCTTTCCAGTTGTATTCGTGGATTTGCGCCAAGCTTGTATGGTTCAATGCTGGCGACTGGACTTGGAGCGGAAGACTCGCAGAAGTACATCAGCCGTCTCCCTCGGGGCAACGCGACAGTTGCGTGCATGAACAGTCCGGCAAGCACCACCATTTCTGGGGACTTAGTTGCAATCGATGAACTTGAGCGGATGATCAAGCAAGATGGTCACTTTGCTCGAAAGCTCAGAGTCGACATCGCCTACCATTCGCCTCATATGCAGGTCATCGCGGAAACATATCGCCAGGCCCTGGGAGACATCATCCCCTTTGATGCAACCGAAACCCAAGTCCAAATGTTCTCTTCCCTGACTGGCGAGAGAATCAATGCCAATAATGAGCTTGGCACAGACTACTGGGTCTCCAATCTGGTTTGTCCGGTGAGCTTCTCCAGTGCGATGAAGGGTCTTCTGCAGTATTCCGAGAAGAAATCGAGACGTCGCAACAACAAAGCTTTTGTGGAGCATTTGATCGAGTTCGGTCCTCATTCAGCGCTCAAGGGGCCTATCAAGCAGATTCTTACTTCCGACTCGGTTAGTTCACTTGGCGAGGTGTCGTATCAATCTGTTCTTGAACGTGGGAAGAACGCCTGCGAAACAGCAATGGCAGTCGCAGGTCGTTTATTCCAAAACGGATATCCCATCAGCGGTGACTCCCTGTTTGATGATTTGGATTCGTCGGTTAAGGGCGGTTATCTCGTCGATATGCCACCATTTGAATGGAACCACAGCCTGAAGTACTGGGCGGACCACCACACTGCACGTCACCATCGGTTCCGCAAGAACCCCAGAACTGACCTATTGGGTGCTGAGACGGTGGATGGCATCGATTCTGAGCCGCGATTTCGCAATATCTTGCGAAACAACGACATTCCCTGGGCCCAACTTCACAAGGTCCAAGGAGCTGCCTTATATCCAGGGGCTGGTATGATAATCATGGCAATCGAGGCCATGTGCCAGAGAGCGGATTCCTCATGTCCTATTGCTGGATATGAGCTGCGAGATATCATTATCAGCAAGGCAATTGTTGTACCCGCCGACGACTCTGGTATTGAAACAATGCTCAATGTAAGGCCATACCGGCAAGGAACTCAGTCACTAGACGCTGCTTGGCAGGAATTCCAGCTGTACTCCCGCAAGGATACGTGGGAGCTAAACTGCTCTGGTCTAATTCGCATCGACTACAAGACCTCTCCTAACACAGTGTTTGTCGACGAGAATGTCCTGGCTGCAAAGCGTTATGCAAGCCAATACCAAGCTGTGCAAAATTCCTGCTCCCGCCTCCAGCGCCCCCGAGACTTTTACGAACAGCTGAACTCAATCGGTCTTTACTACGGTGGCGTGTTCCAGGCTTTGACAGAGATTCGCAAGGGCGACTATTGTAGCACCTGTCAGGTCAAGGTTTCGGACACGAAGAGCATTATGCCACACCAGTTCGAGTTTCCCCACGTGATTCACCCAGTTACTCTGGACAGCATTTTCCAGATGGCCGTGCCTTCTTCATTGAAGGCTGACGAGGACTTGAACGCTCCCAGGGTTCCTGTGGGGATCGGACGTCTCTATGTCTCTGCGGACGTGCCCAAGTCCCCTGGCGACATCTTGAACGGCTATGCCACTTACGAGCAGACTGGGTTTGATCAGGGTGAGTCAAATATTGTGGTCTCCGGCGAACAATGGGACAAGCCTCTTGTTGTTTTAGAAGGCATGCGAGGAAGAAGGCTCAACACTAAAGCTAGCAACGACACCGACCTTCGCAAGATTGGCAGCCACTTCCACTGGCAGGAAGATCTCTCCCTCATGAAACCCGAGCAGCTTCGCAAGCTTTGTGTCAGTGCTACTGGCCATATTAAAAACGAAGATCGCCAAGTTCTCTTCGACATTGAGATGGCCTGTATAATCATCATCAAGCGGGTGATGCAAGAATGCTCAGTTGAGGAATCCAAATCGTATGCCTGGAACTTCAAATTGTTCTATGACTACATGAGATACTACTTACGACTTGCCAAAGAAGGAAGCCTGGGCTATCAGTTGGAGACCCCAGAGATTGACTGGCTGAATATGACTCTGGAGGCGGAAGAGTCCCTACTAAAGCGCGTATCGAAAACATCCACCGATGGTCGAGTTCTTATTGAACATGGCAAATATCTTCCTCAGATTTTGCGAGGCCAAATTCCTCCCCTTCAGATCTTGATGTCCGATAATTTCCTACACGACTTCTATCAGTCCGGCATCGGCACCAAGCAGCACTATGCTCAAATGACCTGGTACGTCGACCAGCTGGCGCACAAGAATCCCGACATGAAGATTCTTGAAATCGGCGGTGGTACTGCTGCTGCTGCCTTGCCCGTGCTGCAGACTCTGGGTGGCTCTGGGGGTACAGATCCCCGATTCGAAAGCTACACATTCACTGACATCAGTGCTGGGTATTTCGAGAAGGCCCAGAGAAAGCTGGCCCCATGGGTTCCCTATATGAACTTTGCCAAGCTCAACATCGAGGAAGACCCTGTTGCTCAGGGATTTGAGGAAGGTGTATATGATATGATTGTGGCATCCAATGTTCTGCACGCAACCCGGTCGATTGGGAAGACCCTTCAGAACGCAAGGAAGCTGTTGAAGCCGTAAGTTCGTTCCCTTTTGGGTAAGCAGCAATACTAATTGTAACTTTTTCTAGAAATGGCAAGCTCGTCCTCAGTGAGCTCACTCAATTCCAAAAGATGAGGTTCCATATGGTCGTCGGATCACTGGAAGGCTGGTGGTATGGCGAGGATGATGGCCGCCACCATGGACCAACCCTATCAATGGACCAGTGGAATGACGCCCTCTTGCAAGCTGGTTTTGATGGTGTTGAAGTCGACTTCAAGGACTTCCCTGATCCCCGCGACACCGGCTTTTCGGTCATGATTAGCGGAGCTTCCGCATCCGGGAACCCACCGGCTCCCAAGGAAGTTATCATTGTTCTTCCTGCTAATCCAGAACCAGATGTGACCATTGCTAGTGAGGAGATAAAGGCGCGGTTGCAGGAACGTGGATCTCTTGTATCCACTGCTTGCCTGCAGGACACTCTGGCGTTGGATTTGCAAGAGAAGTCGTGCCTTTGTTTGCTGGATGCCAACCAAGAGAATGCGTTCTTGTCAACCATATCTTCGGGAGATTGGGATGCTTTGAAACACCTCATTTTCACCACACGAAGCATTACCTACGTCAGTCGGGGTGGTGCGGTCAACAGTGAAAACCCACAGTCTAACCTCATGTCCGGACTAGCAAGAAGCATCCGATCAGAAAACTACCACATTTCCTTCACAACATTAGATGCCGAATATGGCCGTCACCTTGCCGATGAAGATGCTTTGGCAGCTATGCTAAAGGTGTTCTGCCATGCAAGCGACTCCAAAGACTCTGATCAGCCCGACTGGGAATATGCAATTCGAAACGGCATGCCAATGATTCAAAGGGTACTTCTGGAGAAGGGTATCAATGACCTTTCATCCTCTTGGTACGCTGCTCCAGCACCGGAGCAAGCACCTCTCAAACAAGATTGCCGACCCCTTACTCTGGGAATTGGTACCCTGGGAAGACTGGAGACCCTTCAATTCGAGGATGACTGGGTTGCTGCTGAGCCTCTTGGAGCTGACGATGTTGAGATTACAGTCAGAGCTGCCGGCCTGAGCTCCCAGGACCTTATGGTCGCCATGGGACAACTGTCCCGGTCCGGACTTGGGGTCGATTGTGCCGGTATCATCCGCCGGGTCGGCCGCAATGTCAAAACACTTGAGCCGGGTACTCCTGTAATGACCTGGAAACTGGGCACCTTCGGTAACATTGCCCGGGCACCAGCAACTATGGTACAGCACGTTCCGGACGGAATGGACCTCACTACGGCTGCCTCGCTCCCTCTTATCTATAGCACTGCGCTGTACTCTCTATCGACGGTCGCTCGCCTCAGACCCGGAGAGACGATTTTGATCCATGGAGCAGCCGGAGGTGTAGGTCAGGCAGCGATCATGCTGGCACAGTCCATTGGGGCCACCGTTTTCGTCACAGTTTCGTCGGAAGCAAAGAAAAATTTGCTGACAGCCACGTATGGGATTCCAGAGTCACACGTTTTCAATAGCCGCGATGATTCATCCTTTGTACAGGGAGCGATGCGTCTGACAGATGGTCACGGAGTTGATGTGGTGCTGAATTCTCTTGCTGGAGAAGCACTGCGTACCAGCTGGGGAGCCATTGCCCGCTTTGGGCGCTTCGTGGAGCTCGGTCAACGGGACATCGCAGGCAACACAGGCCTGGACATGGCCCCCTTCCTCCGGAACGTGTCCTTCCATTCCGTGAACATGCTGGACCTGCTTGACTGGGATGTAGCAACGGCATCTCGAGTGTTTGCTGACGCTGTCGACCTATTGCGTCGCCAGATCGTGAAACCGATTGCACCCATCCAGGTCATGCCATTCTCACAGGTTGAAGAGGCATTTCGTCTGCTGCAAACAGGCGCACATATTGGGAAATTGGTTCTTGAGGTCCAGGATGACGACCTTGTGTCTGTTGTCCCTGCGGCCGCTGCTCCGGTACGATTCCGGTCAGATGCTACTTACCTGATTGCTGGTGGTGGTGGCGGTCTTGGTCGAGCTATCGCTTTGTGGATGGTAGGAAATGGTGCTCGAAATATCTTGCTTCTTTCTAGATCTGGGACCAAGAAGCCAGCAGCAAGAGACCTGGTAAGCCGATTGACGGCCCAGGGAGCTCGAGTGGATGCCTGGCCATGCGATGTATCAAATGAAGAGCAGGTCGCTGGGATTATTGAGCGATGCCGGTTGGAATCTTGGCCTCGAGTTCGGGGTGTGATTCAGGGCGCGATGGATCTACAAGATGCTGTAAGTTTTTTAACACTATTCAGACTTTTACGTATCTCTAACATCACAACAGCTCTACCAAAACATGACTTACGAGCAGTTCACCGGGGCACTCCTGCCAAAGGTGAATGGAACCTGGAACCTCCATAAGCACCTTCCCGAGGACATGGATTTCTATGTTCTTCTTTCATCCGTCATTGGAATTGCTGGGTCTCCATGCCAGGGCAACTACTCAGCCGGAAACACATACCAAGATGCGGTCGCCCACTACAGACGCAGCAAGGGCATGGCCGCATGTTCCATCGATGTCGGTATGATGCTCGGTGTAGGATACATAGCCGAACAGGGCACGGAGGGTCGAGTGCACGACAACGCCAAGGCATGGAGTTTCCTGGGTATTCACGAGCACGAGTTCATCGGAATCCTCGAAGCAACAATCCGCGGCGAGAGCACGCCTGGCAGCGTGGTCCCACCACAGGTCATCACCGGTCTTGGAACCGGCGGTATGTTGATGCAAATGGGAGAGAAATACCCCTGGTGGTTCAAGGAGATGAAGTTCAGTCATATCAAGCGGGTTGGCGCGCATCAGCAGTCCAACCAGGGTAGCGGGAAGGATGAGATTTCCGTGAGCACACAGCTCGGGAGATGCCAAAGTCTGGATGAGGCCAGCGATATTGTCACCGGAGCGCTGGTCAAGAAGCTGGCCAAATCTATGGTGGTTTCAGCGGAAGATATCGAGCCCTCCAAGCCTGTCAGTAGCTATGGTGTTGACAGTTTGCTTGCTGTGGAGCTGCGCAATTGGATCTATGCGGATATCAAGGCTGAAGTATCTGTGTTTGATCTCTTGAGTAGCGTGCCTATCATGTCTCTTGCAGGGAAGATTGCTGGCACATCTGAGATGGTTCCTAAGTTTTCTGATGAATAGTTTGTTATTGTATTTACTAGCATAAAAGGAGTTATTTCTTTTGAGATCTTTACCTTGTAAAATATTGTGTGTATCAAGGGTACGATGATAGACTGATGTAAAGAACTAGAATATAGAAAGATGATATGACCGTATCTATAGATCGTCGCATAGCAATCATCTATTTAGAACATTCCGTATAGCTGCAAGGAGAGCAAGTATCTGTTGTGACGGTTAGCGGGGCGCCAGAAACGGCTCCCATTGAACCGCGCTTCTGCCGCCTCAACACATCCATTGTATCTATAAAAGCCCAACATCTCCTCAAAGGACCATGCACTTTCTCTTCTCTTTAACCCCTCCTAACTGCCTCGCCCCGTGCACTAGGAATTTACCTATCCATATCACCCCCTGATGTCATGCTTCTGCTTACAATTGCAGTTATGGCCCCCTTCACGCGTTCGCCAGCTGGTCAGTCATTTGAATTTTGGTTGCTGCTCCCGGCCATGCCATCCTATATGGGCTTTCCCTTGAGGACTTTTGGATCCTCGGCTGCCTTGCTATAATCACTTATATCAAAATCTCATGGCTGATTATTCAGCCAGGTACCCAAGATTCTACATGGGAAAGGGGAATTCCTAGATGTCTGGCTATCAGGTCTGACTATGAACTGGATGGCGCCTATCTCCCCGCAGGGGCGTCTTTCGAGTCCACCAGGATCAGTTCATTTACGCATACTCGCGAGGTTTACCGGCCAATAGCAAGATTGCTGCATACTTTTCATTTCAGCACGTCTGGCATGCGAGACTTGGAGCAGAAACGCCCAGATGTAATCGGTGCAGGACACTGGATCTCGGCCTCCAGACATCGCTACTAGATGGATATAGACATGTTGGTAGTCTCAAACGAGATTCTGAGGGTGAGAGAAATTCACCTCATTGCTTCTGCTGGTGAGGAAGGCGGAATGGTGGACTTGACAGACCAAGAGGAAGTATAAATAGGACAATCAAGCCTGCAACATCTCAACTCAATTCTCCCACAACCTGCACTCTCCCCTTCAGCCTCCATGCCCATTTTCTCTCTTCCCAATCATCTATCTGTCATAATTTACCTCAAAATATCCCTATTTCCTAGAATATGCCCGTCTTTTACATGAACAACTTCAAGCCGTGGGCTTGTCCTTACAGGAAGCCATCCTCACCAAACAAATCACCCAATCCATGCACCTCAAGAACCCAAAAATCCCCCCGCCCCAAGCCTTATCATGATTTCTGTCACGGCGCTCTACTAGGATAATGGAACATCCAACTCATGGGTTCTACCTAGGTAGCTATCGACGAGAATAATCAACATGAAAAAGGAAGAAAGGAGGTGACGCCGTATTTATCAACAAAGCAAACAACTGCATCTCACGTGATAGCCAGACAACATGACCAGGCCGTCACAATTTCTTTCCAAGCACTTTGCCACTTTCCAAGCATCACCTCCCTGTGCGGCTACCAGCCGAAGCCTGTGTACATGTCAATGCGAACATTCAGCCATGTACACCATCAAGCTCTCAATCTCAACCACTATACATATCTGCATCAGAAAAGAGTACATATCAAGAAAATCTTGAGCATGGGACAGTATCTTCCCATGATCCAGCGCCTCATATCTCAGATTCAGATCCAATTCTCCGCTGCGATCTTCAAGACAATACTGGTATCCCAATCAAGCCTCCCGCCTTTCGGGAAGATGTTCCAGAGAATGGTCTATCTTTTCCCAGTATATCCAGCTCGAATGACAATATAGAAGATTTCTTCAGGTTTGCCAATACTCAGTAAGACATTCTAATTGACCCGGTAATCCTTGCCGAAAACTGATCTGGGAGGATGGCAACCTCCAGCAATCTGTCACACAAGCCAACAGCCTCGTCAATTCAGAGACATATTGTCCATATCCTGATCATTTGCCCATTCTTCACCGCGTACCTAGCCATTCTCGAGATTCCAGCGAAAGGGCTGGTGGTCAAAATGGTAATACTCAGACAAATGATCACCCTTACGTCCATTATAATCAACAACTGCACCTTCCCCAGCATAACACTGATGCTGAAGCATCCTACACCAATGATGCATCATCTGTAATCTGTTCAAACATGAGGGCTTTGACTATTAGCTCCCTCACGCGGAAGATTTGAATGGTGCCTGGTCGAGTATTCAAGGCGAAAATAGCAAGAACGTTGATCTGGTCAATAGTGAACAAATTGTTACAGCTAGATATCTGGGTCAATTGGGCCACGCAGTGAGCTAATTGGGAAACGCACATAACACTTATCAGAGAACTGTCGGTAATCAACAGCATGCTAATTCCCAAGGTACCTACAAGCTCTACTACCATCTGCCTCGTACATGATAATCGGATATCTTATTACGACAATATTGCGGTGACATTGATATGCGAGGATCATCAGAGTAGGCATAGGTCACATTCGGCTTCGATGTGGAGGCGGGACAATATTCTTTTGGGTCATTACAGAGCTCCTTGTAGTCAATGTATGGTGATACCAGTCCGATACGCTTCGCGAAGGGGCCGAGTATCTGGCTTGTCTCATGAACAAATCCATCATCTCAAACATCCCAAGGTGTGCTGTCGATACAATTGGAGGCCGCGCCCCATACATCCTGGCCTCATTTGGGTTGACACTGTGACGACTCAACACTGTAGCAATGAATGATACATCGCAAATGCTGCTACTCAGCCATGTCGCCAACAACCTCTATAAAACCCCTTCATTATCTAGATAGATTTCCTCTTCTCTTTTCTTCTCCAGATTCGATATTCTCGTCGATGGTTACAATAGTCTAGATAGGGATATTGGTTCATTATTATCTACTTTTCCGAGCCCGTGACAGACGCCAGCATCAGCAAGGAGAAAGGATGCCAAGGGTATATTATCAGCCAGCACTACATGAGCAAGAGCACTCCCCATATGACTTAGATCGCTTTCCAGGACCACTGGGTTGTATTGACTCAGATGCTTGAATGCTTCAGCTCGACCGTGACCCGTTGCCTCGAATACAATTTTATCCCGAAAGTTGGATATCTTGGGGTCTGGTTTGAATGTGTCAAGTAAATGGCGCGCAGAATGTCCAGATTCATGGCTTCAATGGAGGTGTGGAGTAAAGCTAAGGTATCGGTTGATGCAGTTGAAGTAGAGAGGAGTTGTTCCACAGGGGCCACCTGGCCCTGCTTGATGAGGGAGATCGTCGTATCGGTGTCCGACATGGTAGGATCAAGATCAAATCAGAAAATATAATATGCAGTAGATGTATTTTTCCTTGAGAATTGTTGGCTGTAAGAGCAATTCAAAATACTCTCTAGTACTGAGTGCGCCTTGTGTGGCGCAATGCAGAGGCCAATGCTATTCAAGGATGTAATTGGACATGAATGTTCTTCAAATATCTTCCCAAGGTTCAATACTCTCTTAGATGGCTACAATAATTTAGATAGGAATATCAGTTCATTATTACCTACTATTCTGAGTCCGTGGCACAGGCCAAAGTAATCAAACATCTTATACGGTGGGTGAGTGTTCATGTTCTGTGACGAGTGCTGTTGCTGTACTGCTTCTGTTGGAGCTGGAAGACATCCAAGCTCTCTGGTTGGACCAAAAAGTGTTCGGGAGGCAGCTGGCTCTTATCATCAGATATATTGTCACTTGTGGTGGCTCAGCAGCTCAACGCCAAACAAACATTGCCAACATGTCTAAAGGATAACGTACACGCAACATGGGCAAACAAGGGCTTATGTGACGGTCCCAGAATATATGACCATCCCCTTGCAGTGGAATCATTTGCCTTGGTCCATCAGTCCCTGTCGCATGTTGCCATCAATTTGAGCACTGCCCGAGCTGTTGATAATTTTTGGGGGGTCGGTATGGGGATCATTGCGAGAGCTCCGATTCAGGTTGCGACGCTTGGCCTCTCGGGCGTTGGCATTCAAGGACTGAACTACCATACCCACATAGGCCGTAAATTCATCAAAAGTCTTATCATCACCAATATAGGGAAGAGATAGCTCCTTGACTTTGTCAGTGAGTCGTCGGTTGAGCTCGATCTTGTAACGATAATCAGGGATCCTGGCCTCATTCGCCAGTCGTAGGAACTTGGCCAGGAACTCAGGGAATTTGTCACGAGGACGCATGTACAACGTCTGGAGTTCGGCATCAGCCTCCATCCGTCGGTAGGGGTTCTAGAATGCAGTAGTGAGGGCCTTGAACATCTGTTCAACACTGGTATATGAATCGGTGGTTTCTTCGCACAATCTGATGCTCAATTGCTGCCGTGCTAGACCGCTGGTGCGGGAAACAAGATAGACTCGTTTCATCTGGTCATTGTGAAAATGATCTGCATTGGCCACGAATTTTCCTTTCATCTCAATCATCCAATCCTCGAACTCAGGCTCCTTGCCATCAGTGAGGATTGGAGGGTCAGGCACCTTCTCAGACTTGCCTGATGACTTGGTGCTTTCCACAGTGGAACCACGGGAACGCAGCTGCGCCTCTGCGTAAGCTGTCTTGTACTCATCCCGTTCCGCCATCAATTCATCAATCTGTCTCTCTTTGTCCTGAAACTCATTGCGAACGTTCTGGACAAACTCTTCATCCATCTGCTCACGGTATCTATTCTCGAGATCAATCATGCGGTTGAATGTATCGGCAACATAGTCAAATAGCTCGTTGGGGTGGTCACGGCACAGTGCCAGGAATTCTTCTTGTGTAATGATCTTTCGACCCTTTTCTTTCGTGTCCAGAGTCACACGTTGTCTTTGGGTTTGTTCAGTGGCGTCTCGTGCCATCCTGACTGATACAGTTCTTTTGTTCGTTCGGTTGGGGGTTCCCTATCGCAAGCGTGTGGATTCTATGATAGAGTCCTAGCTGTATGCGCTAGAGAAGAGGTTTGAAAAGAAAAAAGAATAAGGCGATGCTAGTATCATGTGACAGACTCAAGCATTATGAGTTTATTGGCAGACTATCTGGCGAAATACTAGCATGAGGAAGAAAAAGAAAGAACGCTGGCCCTGCCAGCGCTGGACTATTTATTGTGTGAGGGGGTCTCACTTGAAAACCAAACAAAGGGACTGGCATAAAGGAATCAAGCATGTCATGTGACTGAGCAAGTGCTCATGCTCCATAACAGTAAAGGCATCTATGAGAGATGAATATGTCGAGATCAAAACCACAATGTGGGTTTTATTCTAATGGTAATGGTGCAATTTCATAATTCAGTATCAAAACATACTTTACATACACAAGACGGGGCTTGGTTTTCTTTAGATGCCCCAATAGAAGCACAAGCAACGTGGCTGGAGGTGTTTGAAACAATATTACCTTCCTTTTTCTTTCGCGGGACTACGACATGGGAGCCAAATATCCCGAAATACATCTGGGAATTGAATCAGAGGTTCCGTAACCAAGTTGAAGGTTACTGCTTTATTGCCTTCTCTAATGACAAGGATGCCATGAGATACCAGACCGTATTGCATGTTCCTTCAAGTCACTAGCATACTTCACCTAGGTTCCCATTTTGATCGGCAGCGATGGGTCCAGCAGGAGACCGAGAAACGCAAGTTCGTCTAGACTCAAGCCATGAGAACATGTGCTGCTTCTTCAAAAACTCAGGTAACTATAGGAATGTTACACGGAATTTGCGACAGCTTGTCGAATAGCGACGACGGCGTGATAGAAGGAGTCGCAGAGGGAGTCATGATTAGACTAACCCTGAATTACCACATACATTCCGGAATAAAGTGGAATCCTCTGCTATCATGCCTGTTGTCACGGGCTCGGACCAGTAGATACTAATGAAATGATATTCCTATCTAAACCAGTGTAGCCATCGACTAGAATATCGAATCTGGAGAAAAAAAAAGAAGAGGCAAATCTATTTACACGAAGAAGTCCTATATGGTTGTGTGTGGTTTTGCTAAGCAGCTTGTTTGTTTTGATTGCTTCCATGGTATTGTTTGCCGTGTGATAATTAGAGTTGCATGCGGCGCGGTTTGGCGCGGATTTTGCGGCTTCGCTGTGCCACTCTCCTGACAATATCTGCCAGAAAGCCACTGGTGAGCTTTTGACATAGCCTAAGGGTCAAGAGAGTTACCTACCTATCCCAGTACATGTGGGCCTCGTCAAGTTTCTCCTGAGTGCCATTGCTATACTGCTGCTGTTGAAGCTGGGAGGCATCCAAGCTCTCTGCTTGGGCCAAATAGTGTTCAGGAGGCAGCTGGCCCTCATCATCAGAGATATTGTCGCCGGGTTCATCTTATCACCTGAATCCTGACTACCAAGTTCTGGGTCGCTGGTAGAGTCACTATCAGATATGCTGTCTGGAAAGATCTCGGTCAGGTCGGAGCTGGGCATGAGCGAGACAAATGTGGAAATCAGCGGACAAGGATCAACGTCCACCGGTTTGCCGATGGAGTGGACCATGACAGAGTCAATTGGTGCGGGTTTCCTGTACATGACATGTTCCGCAGGGTCAATGCTCCGCTCTCACAAGTCATTCGCCTTGCCTTAACTTGATCGTAGGAGTTTTATCAAAGCGAGCAACGGCGATTACGCCTCCAGACACAGCGCTTGAAGACAGTCTATTAATTCGCTGAACCACTATGCCGAGAACATGGTGTATGTACCTGGTGACCTGCCTGGAACCACCGAAGGTGGAGACACTAGGCGCCAATCCTTCTCCAGATACAGCAGGACGTCGACCAGTTTAGAGAAGGGGGTTGGCCCGATACGACATGCTTCCGACATCAGACAGATACGCAGGAATGGGTGTAGGATAATGTCTTTGGTGTTAAAATCCACTGCGGCACAGTTCTAGCTATCCGTACGTTTACGCTGCCACGCCCACGATCCTTTACATCGTTTCTGCCTTGTCTGCAATTAGTAGAGATCGGTTTAATTCTTTATCCCCACGGACCGGGCCATCCTTATCTGAACTGGTCAATGCCAGTGTCTCCACCTTCGGGGGGTTCCGGCCTATTCGCAACATAGTGGTTCAGCGAATCACTGCCTACCCTAGGCGCTGTGTGTGTGTGTGTGTGTGTTGAGGCCTTGCGCCACAGCCACTATGGGAGACTGAGATTTACATAGAATGATCAGCACAAAGGCAGAGCATTGTTTGTGTTCTGGCATTGGTGGATTCTGGAGTCAGATAAACATAGAGTACTCAGTCCATACTTCTCGTATATTCACCATATATGGTTACAAATATTTTAATTTGGTTATTGCTATTTGACCTGCCACCGTGACAATAGAAAGTGCTTGCTAAAACTAAGATTATTTCATCGCCGTGTGGTGAACCCCTCCAGTCGCTTGACCGAATATAACTAAGTAGCGTATTAATTGGATGACTCAAGAAATGGCTGATCACGGTGAAGGCCAAACCATCATCTTCCTCCGAACGGTGGTTTTCGCCAGGAAAACACAACAATCCGAAGTCAACAAGGCGCACAGGGAATAAGACCGGGACAGTGATAAGCGGCGGCCATTTCCAGTGCCATCATGATGTACAGACAGCAGCTCGACTAGATACGCGCCTTCGTTCATTTTTCCTTCTCAGGACGATACGACGACCCAATGAATTGCCAGGTGTTGGTTGGAAAGGCCGAGGCCGCTTAAGCCATTCCATGTCCTCCAAGTCAACGACAACCAAATTGCGGGTCTGTTCATCCCACAGCATATTACGCCACTCTTTGTCTTTGTGTTCAACACCATACTTCTGGAGGGACTTCAGAGCTTTCTCTCGTTCTTTGTGGAAGAAATCGAGATTTTCGTCTTTGATTATCCGCTGAAGCCGAGTTCCAGACCAGCTCAGGATCATCATATGTGCCATTACCCGACCATGGTACCAGTATGCGATGCTTGGCTCAAAGTTGCCTAAACAGACTGGGATCTGATATCCTTGCAAACTTCGGAGCTTGCGATAATTGTCAACTTCTGTTTTAAGGGCATGCTGATTCTCCTTTGTTGTAGCCTTGATGACCACCGTATACCCATGTGACAATAGAGTCGCTTTCATGAGATACCCCGTCCGACCACGGATGTGTAGCGGCTCAAAACCCTTATTTCGATTCTGGACAAGTTGACGGTGCAGCTTGCGCGTGAACTCCTGCGGGCCCATTGGATGCCTCTGACCGCTGTGATGTTGCCAGTTAGGGCACTTCTTATCCAGAGGACCCCCGTGGACCATACCACGGATACAAGCCATGGTGCAGTACGGTCTCTGCACCTTTTGAGAAGGAGTTTGCTTTGTTCTTTGGTCGGGTTGTGCCCGTTCGCGTCCGCCAGTTGATAAATGTTTACCTTTCCCGCGACTTGATCGACTGCGCGCGGCTGGTGCGGTGGACGGCGAAGGCATATCCTCATCACTATCACTGCTTTCACTTGGCGAGCCTACCGGGGTAGATATGCCTGGATTACAGCGAGCGTAGGAACGTGTATTGTGTGTCTTTGGATTCGGTTTCCAGTATGAAGGCCGATAATTCGAGGGCGGCGGCTCCTTGCGAATCGTTTCAGGAATATCACGCAAGACGTCCAAGTATTCGACTTTCCAGGTAGAGAGCTGTTCATGTGCGGTATTGTGCCACTCTTGGGACGGAGCTTCAGCGGCCAGCGCTTGGAGTGTGAACGCAAGCATCTGGCCCACGGCAGTCCGGTGGAGACGGCTCTCATCGCCTGCCTGCACGTCTTGATTTGGGAAACACAAGTAGTATTGAACTATTGTGGGATCCTCTGGAATATGTAGAAAGACAAATGCCTCCCCTGTCCGAATACACCCGTTCTGTATCCCCAAGTCATGCATGTATGAGAATATTTGAGTGACAACAGCGGCAACAAGGCGGGTGGTATGAAACTCAAACGTGTCTCCTTCCTGATCAATAACATCGCGGGCCAGGTCCATCTCGTGCAAGCCCGCGACTAATTCCGCGACCGTAAGCTTGTGAGGGGCTTTAAACTCCACCGCATATACTGGTATCTGGCGCTCGTCAGCCACGATGTGAACACAGAACTGATCAGCACGGCGATTGCGCCGCCTTCCTGAGCGAGCTCTTGTCTGACTTTGACCCATTTGTTTCCCCTTCCCTTTTCTTCTACCTCTTCCGCGGTTGGTGTTTGTTGGTTGACGGGGTGCGTCGTCAAGATGCATCTCCAAACTGTCATCCAGTGAGGTTGAGTTTGTGCGGTCATAAAAGGCCACTCGGCCCTCAATACCAAACTCCCGTTGCAAAGTTTCATCGCCTCGTATTGCCTCGACAATCTTTTCAACAAAGTTATCCACAGTGTCTCGCTCGAAATTTCGTAAAGTCGCTTCTGAGTAAATCGGTCGGTCTTGGACATTTGTTGCGACATAGT